TATTCCTGAAAAAGCACCGTACACCAACGCTGTGTGCAAAAAAATCCCAGTGGGATGCAAGTCAAACAACAACAACCACAAAAAAACTTAGATCAAGTTTTTGTGGTGCTCGGCCAGATGATTGCAGGTATTGTGGTTAACGCAGACATGAATCCTTGTAAAAAGGTTTCAGTTTTGTTGCCAGAAAAAAGGGGAAAAACCCTATTATTAAATAAAATCTTATTAAGACTCAATAAATGAGGCTTTTCCCTGGCTTTCTCCACGTGTACGTTACAATGCAAAGCGTGGAACGTCCATCCACTGCCTTAATGGGGGGCCTACACAAGCGATGCGGGTTCTAGGAGTATTTTCGACCATACTTCACCCCTCTGGTCGATGTGGGTTGGTGATGGCGGGGAGCGTACATGGTGGGATAAACGGAGTGCGACATTATTACCCGGGGTAGTACACGAGTGTCTTGTTGCAATGGTCGTTTGTGCTGAGACCCGTCCGGCGAGGTGATGGCCCAAACTTCGTAGCGCATGAGGGCCACTGGCCGAAACGTCGCCCATCCTATACACGTATTGTTTCTTTTCCTATTAAGGCGGCGGTGTAATAGACGAACGTGTCGGATCTTGTTTGATTTGCTCCTGTGAAAGACGCTACGCGCATCTCCTGATGTCCCCCTGCTTGAATCGATACTCGTGAACTGCCGGACGTTATAGGCAAAGGGGGACGCTCTCTGTTCGATGCACGACGCAGAATATCCGACGGCATCGGGTACGTTCGAGAATTAGATGCGACCGGGACTGGTCGGAGTCTGGAATCCATTTGTGCTGCCGCCGTTTGAGCCTCGATACGCAACGTGATCATTCGCACCCTCTCGCGATTCAAATGGCCCGACGTCTCCTTGTTAACGTCGCCTGTAACGTCGTCTTGTTTCTCTTAAGGCCACAGCGTTATTGACGAAGGCGTCGATGTTCGTGAATTGTACACCGCTGCCGGCGAAGCATCGGCGTACACTCTGTTTAACTTTGTCGGGTTCGGACGCCTCGGCATGGCTCGTTTGATCCGTGGCTATTTCCGCCGAACGACTCGGAATCCCAGGAATCCTGCCTCGCATGCCAGGCCCTGATCCCGCCTCCTGCGGTGTGGAGACTTCACGGCTTCCCCCATTTGGCCTTGGCAGCGATGCAGGACTCGCTGCGGAAGTTGGGGGCGCGCGACATGCGAATGGCTTCCCCCCCCCCCGTGGTGCGTCTTTGTTCTTATGGAGGAATAACGTTGGATTAAAGATGTCATTTTTAGATCTGTAATCAGCTCAATTTTCTGTTCAGAAGCAGAGTGCATGTCGTCCATTCCTACTTTAAAGGAGTGCAGGCAGCAGCGGCGGAGTGTTTGCGATGCGGGTCGATGGTTTGGGATTCGTGGCGCCACCACTCGCAGGCTGCCGAATCTTCGATGGCGCCATTTGTGCATCGCGTGGCCGCATCGGCCACGTGGCCCGGTCCCCATTCGGCCGATGGTCGGCCATCGGCGGCGTGGAAGGTTGAAACCGGGAGGTTCGACGGTCGGGTCGCTGTACGAGACGTTTATTTTTGACGTCGGTCGCAGTCCAGACTCTCGCTTCCGTCTCCCGCCTTCATTCCCCCGTGGCTATTGGTTAGATTACATTGAGGCACAACAATCCGCTACTGTGTCCGAATGCTCATGGAGATCTGTGAGAGTGAATGAGCTCACGTTAGCCAACAGGTCTCTATGCGGGGGTGTAGCCCCAATGCAGAGGTTGTGGGTGTCCTGCTGGGAATGGTTCCCCCGTGGTGACGTACGTATGTATGTGTACGTGTTGAACTTCTTTCGCACCTTATATGGTTCACCAAGCCAGTCGGAGGTGCATAGAGCCAGAGAGGATTACCCTCTGGCACCAGTGGGCTATCGCTAGGAACTAAGCTTTCCTCCCACGTGTATGGACGCTCATTAATTGGTCGATAACACCTTAATATACAGAGAGGATCGCAGAGCTTGGCCGATTGTTGGCAGTGCCGGGTCACCCCCGCGGCTGCTGCTGCTGCCTTCCCCGCTCGCCTTTGGCTCCTCCTCCGGACCGTTTCCGAGTCGTCCTCTCTCGACGAGAGCGATGTGTGTGTGAGTACGTTGAACTTCTTCCGTACCGTACGTAGCCAACCGTGCTCATCGGGAGGTGGGTTACAGAGGCACAGTGATCGGCTGGTTGTGCCTCAAGCTCTCACCGATGATGGCCGTGGTGGCCACGCTACGTGCGCTCATCCCTCCGCTGCGACGGGATTTCCCGTCATTCACGGATCTGAATCGCCCGTAGCGCGTGCTGCCCCCACCCGCCGATGTGACTTCCGTTTTAACTAAACTTGATGGGCGGACTGCGATTGCAATCTTAAATCGACGCCGCCAGCGGCTCGCGACTGGGGTTACCGAGCGGACCACGTGTGCCTGCCCCCAATCCCCACGCCGTGTCCGTGAAGATGACTCCCACCGGCGGCACAAAACAAACAACGCGTCCACTCAGAAACACCGGTAGCGTAAAACATAAATACTTTCATATTCTTGGTTCTTTCGGCAAAGTCACTTAGAAGGAAACAATAAAATAATAAAAATTTAAAACAATAAAAATTCTCATGACGGTTCGACTGCAAATTTGAAATTTTCTTGCTGTGGCTTTCACACCTGATGATGATTGCTTGTGTTGCAGTCGAAACGTCGTGATAATTTTATTGTTTTATATTTTTATTATTTTATTTGTTTCCCTTCTACGTGACTTTACCGAAAGAACCAAGAATATGAATCCCTGCAGTCACGAAAGCTTTATATCAAAATAAATACTTTCATTTTATTATGAGTCATCCACGCTAATGGCATCCCACAACGCTGTATATTAATTATATGAACCTTAGGGGCCGTCCATAAATGACGTCACGCATCTGGGGGGGGGGTCAGACATTTGTGACGGATGTGTGACGAGGGGGGGGTTTGAGAAATGTGACGTCACATCAAAATGCGCAACTTTAAATAAACATAGACAACACGTTTTTCTTAATTAAATAGACTTTTTAATAAATGTTTTCTCCTACAACATCAGAGTGCAGTGGCACATTAAATACGCACTACAATGACAATAGTTTAAAGCGATTTGAAGCATGTGTTTTTTTTTGGGGGGGGGGCGGGGGCAGAGCTTTGTGACGTCATATTTGAGGGGGGGTCTGATTTCTGGTAACACCGTGTGACGAGGGGGGGGGGTCAAAAATCGTCCAAAATCGTGTGACGTCATTTATGGACGGCCTCTTATGGTGGTACCCCGGGGCACCATAGTACCCCGGCTCTCGCATAATGTCCGTGATGCAGTCCTTGTTCGTCTGTTGATGGTCGGCGATGCGGCAATCGACTCATCTCGACGAGCCGTACACTACGATGCACCACCAGTACGGTGCGTGCCGCGAGCGTTCAGGGTTTCGGCACAATCGCCCTCGCGGCGTTTCGACATCGCAGAGTAGCACCACTGATGTCGGATTGATTCGTTACCCCAGTCGTGGAGTGAAGTACACCCCTGGAAAAAAAATAGTGTCTCAGAAATAAAATATTTAATTGTCTCGGCCAGTTTGTATTATTTGGTGCCCTGGGGTACTGACATAAGGATCATATACAGTATATAGAAGGAGCAAATCCCATATGTGTCAACTAATCAAGCAAATGAAAACCCCTACTCCCAGCAAGCAAAATCAAATATGAATAAACAAATTAAGAAATGGTACCCAAAACAAAAAGCACAAACGACGAAAGAGTGATCACAACAACAGAGCAACGAGTCCATGAGGTGGAACTCCGCGACACATCCCAGAGCACAGTCACCAACTTCCCAAACGAGGCAGGAAAACTTCGCAGGAGGAGGGGCGTTGTCCACAACATCGTTGTGGGAGTCCCTCGGCCATTGCAAACAAGTTAGAAACAACTCCACCACCACAGTGGCCCCATCGCTGTCCCTCGTCAACAAGCTCCCCCTGGTCCTAGCCACTGCATCGCTCGCTCGCTGCGTCTATGGCGATCTGAGCAATGGGAGAGTTTTTGGCGGCCGTTCCTCCCTTGGAAACGTCTCGTTCCCCTGGCTGCTCCGTCACTGCAGGAGTTTATTACGAGTGGTGCAGTGTTTGTTGTTGTTAATGTCGTTGCGAGGGGGTTGGTTGTGTTTCCCGGGCAATTTCCTCTGCCAATTTGGCTGATTTACTGGAGTTCCAACCCCCCCCCCTCGCAAACAGTTCCAGAGCTACCGGTCGATCTGTCTGTGTATGTGCACATCTGTCTGTCGGCCTGCCAGTTGTGTCCTGTCCTCCGCCTTTCTCTCTGCCTGTCTGCCTGGTCCACTTGTTAATCCACACCTCGTCGGGACACGGGGTTCGTTGTTTGTCTGCTTCAGGCGTGGTTGATCGTAACGAGGCTGTGAATGTCCCTGCGGTTTGCCGAGTCGAATGACAGCACGGGCACTCGGCTCCACTGGCGGGCCTCCAAGATGTTGACGGAAATTCCATACTCCCACGGCAGGGGCTAACCCACGCCTAATTCACTCCCCTATCATTCCTATTTTTCATCTCCCTCGTGTCATCCTTCTCCTCTGTGGTCTTGTTATTAAACGTTGTACACTGATGAATCACCCAACCCCAACTTGGCCTAGGACTCTCCCCGGCTCTTGCATAACATCAACGAGCCAAATGCTGACGACGACGGCACCGGATGGATTGTTGCGTCGCAAGAATCGCGAGAGGTGGCCGTGGTTTTGGGGAGCTCTTCGTCCGTGTCCGTTTCGTAAAAGATGCTCTCAGTGGAGGTTGGCGAACTGGCGGGGAACAAGCCATGGACGGGGATTGAACTCCGGTCGCCGGGTTCGGAGTGCAGTGCACTAACCACTGTTTTCTCATTTCCTCTCTCCCCTGCTACCTCTACACTTCTTGTCCATCCACCCTCCCCCACCTGTCCGCCGACCATACTTCACCCTCCAGGGCTCAGCGGAGTCGTACAACAGCCGGCCCACGGACTCGGACGTGTCCCTGGAGGAGGACCGGGAGGCCCTCAAACATGAGGCCGAGAAGCAGGCCTTGGCTCAGCTCGAGAAGGCCAAGGTAGGCCCTGGATGCAGGCCGGTGTCGCCCTTTGTTTGAGTCACAAACGCATCGCTGTCAACCCCTTATCAGTGCCCTACCTTATTACGGAGCAATTCGGACCTTATTGGTCACCGCCGTGCCCTTATAAATCTCAACGTTCGTCCTACCAAGTCCCATCGCAAGGGAGAAACACAAACAAATAGACAAGCAAGTATTGACACGGCTGTACACCGTATGGACCTGAGAACTCAATTCCCCTGTACAAGAACACTGAGTAAACCGTATGGGTTGGCAGGTACGTAAATGTCTGGATTCGTCGCGATGTTCATCTTGCTGCCGAGTGGAGCCACGCGGATTTCGGGCGCTAAGCAGCGTTGAACCCGGATATGGCCTGGATGGGCGATCAACAGGGCTACGTCACAGTACAATGTAGCTCCACCGTTGTACTGTACTTCTACGCTCCCGCGCCAATGCTCCCCACCTTCGAGTGTGGTCTTACTACTCTCAATCACTAGTGGATCGATGAAGCCCGTTGTGCGTTGACCCAGGAGTATTCCGTGGGTGTTTGTTCACGAGTTGCCACCAGCTGGCAAGGGAGCCATTACAGTCGTCGTTGTTACAATATGCAAATTATTAATCATTCATTAATTTAAAAAAATACGTGCGCAATTTGGACAGAAGGACATTCGGAGGCACGGATATACTAAAACAGTGCTTGTACTGAAGCCTTGTATTGTATTTCACTGGCACGATGATAAGTGGTAGGCGTGGTAGTGGCGTTGGTAGTGATGATGGTGGTAATGGTAACTATGTAGATGACAGTGATCGTGATGTATGTATGTTCAACTTCTTTTGCACCGTACGTAGCCAACCGTGCTAATCGGAGGTGCGGGGGGAGCACAACATGCTAAACACAAAACGCAGTTATAAAGAAATTCGTTTGCAATCTTGATGATTTAAAATTGCATAGTGCATCTGAAACCGCGCGATGCAGTGACCATCATCAGTATTGACGATTGTGGTGATGATAGCAATTACTATAATGGTAGTGATCGTGGTGGTGGTGATGATGCTTATGTTGGTGCGAGTGGAGGCGGCTCGTGAAGGACGCTACTGGTCAGTTGGAGGCAGTCCCCTTCCAGCAACATCGTAGGGCAGAGGAGCGCCGGGCGGCTAAAAGGCAGCAAAAGCTGGCACAGTAGGGGGCGCAGCTGGTGCACCTCCCGGTCATCGCAGTCGGTCAACCAACGGCACCTGGGTCTGTCCCGTGACCTCCTCCTGTCAGCAGCGGGCCTTCGACACTTCACGTGGCACTCAAAGTGTCACCTGGCCTCGCACAGGTGTCGTGGCGACGTCACTGCCACTTAGTGGCGAATGGCGGCCGTTGTTGTTGTTGGTGTAAGTGATGGTGGTAGTGGTGATGGGCGACTCCCGCTGTAGGCGCCGGGTCGCCCGCGCCTCCGTGACCTGCCGAGCTCGTTAATTATTGAGAGCGAGCGCCCACCCACGAGGTGCTCGCGTTAACGTTGCCCCGGGGGTGGGGGGCTCGCGGGGCAGGAAGTGCGCCCCCCAAGGCAGAAGAGCAACGCTCAGCGGCGCAGGGCAAAGGAGAGGGGGGGGGGGGGTTAAAGATGAGAGAAATGGAAGTGATGGGAGAGCGAATTAAGAGCGCAGAATGGGGACGTGCGAGGGGAGGAGGAGATGAGGGTGGGGGGGTATGAAGAGGAGGGAGATATAAAAGAGGGTAGAGATATGGAAAGGAAGAGGAGCAATTGAGGAGAGAGAAGACAGAGGTGAGACAGGAGAGGAAGAGAGGAAGATCAACTCGATAGACGGCGGAGAGGTTGCTTGAATGAGAGAAAGCAGCGAGTGGGAAGATACGTCGGACAAAGGGGACATAGAGAGAGAAAGGAGAGCACAGGGAAGAGAGGATGAAGTATACGAGAGGGAAGACAAGAGGGAAGGTGGAGCGGCCACGCCACTGTCCGTGTAAGCGTGCCCTATGGAGGCCGTGCGTGCGTGAGAGCGTGAGTGTGTGCATCCGTGAGAGTGCGTGAGAGTGTGCGTGAGAGTGCGTGAGTGAGAGTGCGTGAGAGTGCGTGAGAGCGTGAGTGAGAGTGCGTGAGAGTGCGTGAGAGTACATGAGTGAGAGTGCGTGAGAGTGCGTGAGAGTACGTGAGAGTGCGTGAGAGTGCGTGAGAGTACGTGAGAGTGCGTGAGAGCGTGCGTGAGAGTGCGTGAGAGTGCGTGATAGTGTGCGTGAGAGTGCGTGAGAGTGCGTGATAGTGTGCGTGAGAGTACGTGAGAGTGCGTGAGAGTGCGTGAGAGTGCGTGAGAGTACGTGAGAGTGCGTGAGAGCGTGAGTGAGAGTGCGTGAGAGTGCGTGAGCGTGCGTGAGAGTGCGTGAGAGTGCGTGATAGTGTGCGTGAGAGTGCGTGAGAGTGCGTGATAGTGTGCGTGAGAGTACGTGAGAGTGCGTGAGAGTGCGTGCGAGTGCGTGCGAGAGAGTGCTTTATATCGTGCGTGCGTGCGTGACAGCGTGTGTGAGAGTGCGTGAGAGCGAGCGTGCGTGCGACCATGAAAGTGCACACGCAGCAGCAGCAGCAGCAGGACCGTCTAATGCACAGCCGTCTTATTCAGCAGCCTCCGCCCGTACCGCGGGAAACGTTGCATTATTAATCACGGGCGAATGAACCGCTTCGCTTACAAACGCGCCTCTTCCGACGGGACACGCACGGGGAAACACGAAGAGACCCGCGTCCACCGCCCCGTGTCGCCTCCGCCGGCTCTTGGGGGCAAGTGTTGTTAGCGAGCGGCGAGCGAGGGCCGGCACGGCACGCGGGTGGATGCGGTGCGCTCGCAAACTCCGCCCTTCGTCTTGCCCCACACCGCACGCGGCAGCGCCAGCGACTCGCTCGAGGCCGAGTTCACATTGGGGAGACAAGGGATGAGTGCAGGTCTCCGTCTGTCGCCGCTCGTCGAATTGAAATCGCGTCGCTCGGGGTGTTTCGCGCAGTGCAGGAGCCACTGCGCCACCAGCGCTTGTAACGGACACGCTGACAGAGGTCCCCCCGTGTGTAGCCTTAACAGACCATTGGTGTCAGCGCCGTTCGCGAGCAGCGCCTATGAAGGCCGACACGGCACACACCGGCACCACGCGCGACTGTCTCCCCAATGGCGATGTTTACACACCGCACCAGGGACTCATTTGATGCCAGGTGTTGTAGGCCTGTGCCACGCGGTTGCCAGGAGATGGACGCACAGCAGTGGATCTCCGAGTGTCCTTGTACGGCGCTTGAAGCGTCGCTATCTCCTTGTACGCTTCGAGCCTTTTCTCAGGGCAATTTGTATGTACGTACAGTGAGGGAAAACAGTATTTGATCCCCTGCTGATTTTGCACGTTTGCCCACTGACAAAGAAATTATCAGTTCAAAATTTTAATGGTAGGTTTATTTGAACACTGAGAGACAGAATAATAACAAAAAAATCCAGAAAAACGAATGTCAAAAATGTTATAAATTGATTTGCATTTTAATGAGGAAAATAGGTATTTGACCCCTCTGCAAAACATGACTTAGTACTTGGTGGCAAAACCCTTGTTGGCAATCACAGAGGTCAGCCGCTTCTTGTAGTTGGCCACCAGGTTGGCACACATCTCAGGAGGGATTTTGTCCCACTCCTCTTTGCAGATCTTCTCCAAGTACTTACAAAAAAATCCGCAGACTACCTGCTGGATCTCCTCTCTGTTTCAAAGAACAAATTTGACCTCAGGTCTTCGCTCATTTACCAGCTTCACATTCCCTATTGCCGTACAAAAACTGGAGGAAGGGCCTTTGCTATTGATGCCCCCAGGGTCTGGAATGCTATTGCCAATAAACTGCAACTTGAATCGCTACCAATGAGATCTTCTCTCAAAACTGCTCAAGAGGAGTTGTACACCCCAAGCTGCCACTGCTATTCATTGGCGTAAAATAAAATAAAATGTTTCGCTCCGGATGACGCTGAAAAGTATTATCTGTATTTTGATTTAGCGTGCTGATCTTAAAGGTGCATTGAAAAATGTTATACTCCGACTGATGCCTCTGTTGTTGTGGAGTAACTCATGCAGCTAGCTATGGCTCTAGGATTCGGTGTTACATGTTATTTATGTAGTTTATTGTAAAAATTCGGTCACAGTCCCTGTGATCACTGTTACGTTGCAATTATGGCTTTATTTTTTGGTGATTTCGAAAAAAAATTTGGTTTGGACATGTTTGTTTTGTTGTAGTACGGAGTTAGACTGATGGCCTTTATCTACGTTTTCTTGTGGTTGTTGTTGTTGTTGTTTGACTTGCATCCCACTGGGATTTTTTGCACACAGCGTTGGTTTACGGTGCTTTTTTCAAGAATATTTAGCTGTTTTTTTCTTGGATTTTCTGTTTGCACAGTCACGAATGGCTCACAGGGCTATACCAAAATAAATAAACTGAAACTGAAAGTCATTAAAGTTTCGAGGCTGACGTTTGGCAACTCAAACCTTCAGCTCCCTCCACAGATTTTCTATGGGATTAAGGTCTGGAGACTGGCTAGGCCACTCCAGGACCTTAATGTGCTTCTTCTTGAGCCACTCCTTTGTTGCCTTGGCCGTGTGTTTTGGGTCATTGTCATGCTGGAATACCCATCCACGACCCATTTTCAATGCCCTGGCTGAGGGAAGGAGGTTCTCACCCAAGATTTGACGGTACATGGCCCCGTCCATCGTCCCTTTGATGTGGTGAAGTTGTCCTGTCCCCTTAGCAGAAAAAACACCCCCAAAGCATAATGTTTCCACCTCCATGTTTGACGGTGGGGATGGTGTTCTTGGGGTTATAGGCAGCATTCCTCCTCCTCCAAACACGGCGAGTTGAGTTGATGCCAAAGAGCTCAATTTTGGTCTCATCTGACCACAACCCTTTCACCCAGTTGTCCTCTGAATCATTCAGATGTTCATTGGCAAACTTCAGACGGGCATGTATATGTGCATTCTTGAGCAGGGGGACCTTGCGGGCGCTGCAGGATTTCAGTCATTCATGGCGTAGTGTGTTACCAATTGTTTTCTTGGTGACTATGGTCCCAGCTGCCTTGAAATCATTGACAAGATCCTCCCGTGTAGTTCTGGGCTGATTCCTCACCGTTCTCATGATCATTGCAACTCCACGAGGTGAGATCTTTCATGAAGCCCCAGGCCGAGGGAGATTGACAGTTCTTTTGTGTTTCTTCCATTTGCGAATAATCGCACCAACTGTTGTCACCTTCTCACCAAGCTGCATGGCAATGGTCTTGTAGCCCATTCCAGCCTTGTGTAGGTCTACAATCTTGTCCCTGACATCCTTGGAGAGCTCTTTGGTCTTGGCCATGGTGGAGAGTTTGGAATCTGATTGATTGATCGTTTCTGTGGACAGGTGTCTTTATACAGGTAACAAGCTGAGATTAGGAGCACTCCATTTAAGAGTGTGCTCCTAATCTCAGCTCGTTACCTGTATAAAAGACACCTGGGAGCCAGAAATCTTTCTGATTGAGAGGGGGTCAAATACTTATTTCCCTCATTAAAATGCAAATCAATTTCTAACATTTTTGACATGCGTTTTTCTGGATTTTCTTGTTGTTATTCTGTCTCTCACTGTTTAAATAAACCTAGCATTAAAATTATAGACTGATCATTTCTTTGTCAGTGGGCAAACGTACAAAATCAGCAGGGGATCAAATACTTTTTTCCCTCACTGTATGTATGTTTGTTTCATGTATGTTGTATGTATGCACTGCGTGTGGAACTTATTTCACACCGTGCGTAGCCAACCCTGCTAATCGGAGGTGCGCTGGTAACTTTGGTTTCTGTCCACGTCATGCAGCAGCATAGTGCTGCTGCATGACACAGCGGCACCATCCTTAAAATGGGCCTTGAGACTTCCCTGGGTAACCAAGGGGCATTGTGGGAATGGTTCGGGAGGCCGCAAGCCAAACTGTAATGAATGGGATTGGTCGAGCAGTACCCTCCAGAAAACCATTCTTGAGTGGGTTTTTTTCCGGACTGATAAAACATTTTTATATTAATTTTAAACAAATGTATAAAATGCATCTTTTGGCTCGCTCTTCCCCGATCCTTTTCAATTCCACCGTCACCATGGTTTCCTTACTGGTGCTGTGCCGTGTCACGTGGTGCGGTTCCTCGTGGTGCGGTGCGCGGGGCTGTGTGGCACCGTACGCGACTCTGTTCGTTTTGCTTCTTTGCTGCCCAAGTGAATGGGACGGTGTGCGGTGTGCGAGACTCTGCGGTTTGCGGTGTGGCTGACACCTCGTGCCGTGTGGCTGACACCTCGTGCCGCGTGGCTGACACCTCGTGCGGCGTGGCGGTGCAGACGAAGCCTGTGGCGTTCACGGTGCGCACCAACGTGGGCTACAACGGCTTCCACGAGGAGAGCGCTCCCATCCACGGTGCCGCCATCTCATTCGAGGCCAAGGACTTCCTGCACATCAAGGAGGTGACCCCTCACCCCCAATAACTACATCTGGATTGAGAACACTCGTTTCTTCGGAACTGCTTCTCGTTTGTTGTAGTTTGTTGTTCTTGCCGCGCACCTCCGATTAGCACAGGTGGCTACGTACGGTGGGAAAGAAGTTCAACATACATGCATATAGCCCATACCCCCCTCAAACTCGTATCTCCCCCCGCGTACTCTCACATCCAATAATTAAATTGGAATAATCCCGTTCCTTTGCCCTTTCGTTTACCATCTTGTTTGTGGGTTTTTTTTGGCTCTTTTTGTCCCGTTTTTCCAGTTTGGTTTCACTTTTAGCCCGATTGTAACATTCATAGGTCACTTGCATATAGTTTAACACCTCGCCGGGGTTGTGAGATGTTAACTACTTCGCCTGGTATACAGGTGGTCGTGGGTTCGATCCCGACCCTAATGCCGGTATATTTAGAGTTCGCATGTTCTCCCCATGGTTTTTCCCTTCACACTTAGAATAAAAATGCGTTTGGGGTGTTTGACTGCGATACATTTCCACGCGATAAGCCACTTTCGTTGAGCTATCATTCGTGGCCAGGTTGCTTCTGAAAAAGAGCTACGTAGCTCAGTGGGGCCTTACCTGGTAAGAAAAAAAAAAGATTGCTTAGTATTTATTTATTTATTTGAACTCGTTAAAAGTTGGCGATTTTCTCACGGCGCGCGATTCGGCGCGCGTGCCGGGAGCGACGTCGATGAAGCGGTGCGTCGCGAGCCGCCTGCTGCTACCGCCGCCGCCGCCGCAGCCGCTCCGTGGCGACGATAGTCCCACCATAATAGGGCTTTTCCCCTTTTCTCTGGCAACAAAAACTGAAACCTTTTTTTACCAGGATTCATGTCTGCATTAACCACAATACCTGCAGTCAAAATGCAAACAAAAAACATACTATGATAATATATGCATTGTCCTTGAAACTGATTGGTCCACACCAAGGGACGGCTTTCTTTTGAGCCTCGACCCAATTGGTATTGTGGTTAATGCAGATATGAATCCTTGTAAAAAGGTTTAAGTTTTGTTGCCAGAAAAAAGGGGAAAAACCCTATTATTATATTTTGGTACTGGCAAAGGAGGTCTAATGATGTAGATGCTCACCCCGATCCCTCATTATTTTGATAGTGCATTGTCTTTGAGCTGTACGTCTTTTGGTGTCATCTGGTCGAGCACCAATTGGGTCGAGGCTCAAAAGAAAGCCGTCCCTTGGTGTGGACCAATCAGTTTCAAGGACAATGCATATATTATCATAGTATGTTTTTTGTTTGCATTTTGACTGCAGGTATTGTGGTTAATGCAGACATGAATCCTCGTAAAAAGGTTTCAGTTTTGTTGCAAGAAAAAAAGGGAAAAACCCTATTATTATATTTTGGTACTGGCAAAGGAGGTCTAATGATGAAGATTTTATTTATTTTTTATAAGGAGGGCCCTGCATCGGGATGTCTGGCAAATTCCTTTCAGGAAAGAGGTTACCGTAGACCCACGCGTACCGTAGACCCACGTGTACCGTAGACCCACGTGTACCATAGAACCACGTGTACCATAGAACCACGCGTACCGTAGACCCACGTGTACTGTAGACCCACGCGTACTGTAGACCCACGCATACCGTAGACCCACGCGTACCATAGACCCACGCGTACCGTAGACCCACGCGTACCGTAGACCCACGCGTACCATAGACTCACGCGTACCGTAGACCCACGCGTACCGTAGACCCACGTGTACCATAGACTCACGCGTACCGTAGACCCACGCGTACCGTAGACCCACGTGTACCATAGAACCACGCGTACCGTAGACCCATGCGTACCATAGACCCATGCGTACTGTAGACCCACGTGTACTGTAGACCCACGTGTACTGTAGACCCACGCGTACCGTAGAACCACGCGTACCGTAGAACCACGCGTACTGTAGACCCATGCGTACCGTAGACCCATGCGTACCATAGACTCACGCGTACCGTACACCCACATGTACCGTAGACCCATGCGTACCGTAGACCCACGTGTAGACCGGTCCCCACCTCCACAATGTTGACGCTCCCCCCCGCCGTCGCCTCGCAACCGCTCGACGGGCAACCGACGTCCTCTCCTGGCGCGCATGCGGACGCGGGGGTGGTGGTGGATTGTTCTGTCGTTGTTGTGAATACGCTCGAGGTCGTTGGAGGGGGCCCCCGGCTCCGCCGGATTGGGGAATCTCGCCGATCGCTCGCTCACTCGCTCTGCTGCACGCACGTCGCAGAAATACAACAACGACTGGTGGATCGGGCGGCTCGTCAAGGAGGGCTGCGAGATCGGCTTCATCCCGAGCCCCGTGAAGCTGGAGCTCATCCGCCAGCTGCTGGAGCAGAAGGCGCGGCAGGGGCGCTTCCATGCAGGGTGGGGTGCCGCACCCCACCACCGCACCCCACCACCAGGCCCCACCACACCGCACCACCGTACCCCACACAACACCTCACCACCACACTCCACCACCGCACCGCACCACCGTACCCCACACAACGCCCCACCACTACACTCCACCACCGCACCCCACACAACACCCCACCACCACGCCCCACCACCACACCGCACCACCGCACCCCACACAACACCCCACCACCACGCCCCACCACCACACCCCACACAACACCCCACCACCGCACCCCACACAACACCCCACACAACACCCCACCACCACACCCCACACAACACCCCACACAACACCCCACCACCACACCCCACACAACACCCCACACAACACCGCACCCCACACAACACCGCACCCCACACACACAACACTCCACCACCGCACCCCACACAACACCGCACCCCACCACGCCCCACCACACCCGGTCCACCAGTCCTCGATGGCAGCCTCCACACCGAGGGGCTCAGCAACCTGCGGCTCTGGAGGAGAACGCCGCCGCCCTTTTCCGGACTGCCTCGGTGACGCCGTTTTGTGTCTTCACGGACCGCCGTCTCGTAACCACGTCGCATTGTTGAGGCTCTTGAAATATTGAGTCGGGTGTTTTTTTTAGTGCTTTCACTACGGAATTCGAACAAAGAATGGCTCTTCGTGTTGTTTTGGTTGCCGACCGCTTTCGCCACGAAAAACCACGCGGAAGTGGCGGGCCTCGCTGGGCCTCTGCTGGTGCCGCGGTGTCTAGGGGATGTTAACTCCCTCGCCTGGTATGCAGGAGGTCGTGGGTTCGATCCCGACCCTGACGCCTGCTGTGTGTTTGGAGTTTGAGGTCTCTCTCTCTCTCTCTCTACTTGTGGTCGAGTGGATTTTTCTCCGGGTCCTTCGGGTTTTTCCCCTCTACATTTTAGAGTATTTGGCTGCTGTAATTGTGTTTTGAATTTCCTGCGCATTTGGAAGTCTCTTTGAGACGCCGTGGCATTTAAGTGATGAATAGGTGTAAATCCTTATCCACACCTCTTCTGCATCAGTCATCGATCCATCCCATGCGAATTCGATGTCTGTCTCATCTTGAGCTCATCTCCACTCTGTATAATCTCCGTGCGTTCCCCAACTCATCTGCAACTGCTCGTGCCATCCTTTCTCCACCGCATCTCCGTACTCCGTCACGCCGTGATCTTGAGCTGACACCCCCCCCCCACCCCACCCCCGGCTGCTCGCCCCGCAGGAGACAGGGAACGAACTCGTCGTCCAGCCTGGGCGACCTCGTGCCGGGGTCACGGCGGTCGACACCCCCTTCATCCGGTACAACGCGGACGCACGCTCGCACATGAACACGCACGCGCGAGCACGCACGCCCGGAACCTACACGCGTCCCACACGCAGCGGCGTCGATGAGCTCCAAGCCACTGCAGTACCCCACGCTCCTCCCCACCCTCCCCACGTTTCTCCCCACCACACCCCACACTCCTCCCCACCACACCACACGCTCCTCCACACCACACCCCACACTCCTCCCCACCACACCACACGCTCCTCTCCACCACCCCCCACGCTCCTCCCCATCCTCCCCACGCTCCTCCCCACCACCCCCCACACTCCTCCCCACCACACCACACACTCCTCCCCACCACACCCCACACTCCTCCCCACCACACCACACGCTCCTCCCCACCACACCCCACACTCCTCCCCACCACACCACACGCTCCTCTCCACCACCCCCCACGCTCCTCCCCATCCTCCCCACGCTCCTCCCCACCACCCCCCACACTCCTCCCCACCACACCACACACTCCTCCCCACCACACCCCACACTCCTCCCCACCACACCCCACACTCCTCCCCACCACACCACACGCTCCTCCCCACCACACCACACACTCCTCCCCACCACACCACACACTCCTCCCCACCACACCACACACTCCTCCCCACCACACCACACGCTCCTCCCCACCACACCACACACTCCTCCCCACCACACCACACACTCCTCCCCACCACACCACACACTCCTCCCCACCACACCACACACTCCTCCCCACCACACCACACGCTCCTCCCCACCACACCACACGCTCCTCCCCACCACACCACACGCTCCTCCCCACCACCCCACACACTCCTCCCCACCACACCACACGCTCCTCCCCACCACACCACACGCTCCTCCCCACCACACCACACTCCTCCCCACCACACCACACACTCCTCCCCACCACACCACACGCTCCTCCCCACCACACCACACGCTCCTCCCCACCACACCACACGCTCCTCCCCACCACACCACACTCCTCCCCACCACACCACACACTCCTCCCCACCACACCACACACTCCTCCCCACCACACCACACACTCCTCCCCACCACACCACACGCTCCTCCCCACCACACCACACGCTCCTCCCCACCACACCACACGCTCCTCCCCACCACACCACACGCTCCTCCCCACCACACCACACACTCCTCCCCACCACACCACACTCTCCTCCCCACCACACCACACACTCCTCCCCACCACACCACACACTCCTCTCCACCACACCACACACTCCTCCCCACCACACCACACACTCCTCCCCACCACACCACACACTCCTCCCCACCACACCACACACTCCTCCCCACCACACCACACGCTCCTCCCCACCACACTCCTCCCCACCACACCACACGCTCCTCCCCACCACACCACACACTCCTCCCCACCACACCACACACTCCTCCCCACCACACCACACACTCCTCCCCACCACACTCCTCCCCACCACACCACACACTCCTCCCACCACACCACACACTCCTCCCCACCACACCACACACTCCTCCCACCACACCACACACTCCTCCCCACCACACCACACACTCCTCCCCACCACACCACACACTCCTCCCCACCACACCACACGCTCCACCCCACCACACCACACGCTCCTCCCCCACCACACTCCTCCCCACCACACCACACGCTCCTCCCCACCACACCACACACTCCTCCCCACCACACCACACACGCCTCCCCCCCACACCACACACTCCTCCCCACCACACCACACACTCCTCCCCACCACACCACACACTCCTCCCCACCACACCACACACTCCTCCCCACCACACCACACACTCCTCCCCACCACACCACACACTCCTCCCCACCACACCACACGCCTCCTCCCCACCACACCACACGCTCCTCCCCCACCACACCTCCTCCCACCACACCACACGCTCCTCCCCACCACACCACACACTCCTCCCCACCACACCACACACTCCTCCCCACCACACCACACACTCCTCCCCACCACACTCCTCCCCACCACACCACACACTCCTCCCCACCACACCACACACTCCTCCCCACCACACCACACACTCCTCCCCACCACACCACACACTCCACCCCACCACACCACACACTCCTCCCCACCACACCACACACTCCTCCCCACCACACCACACGCTCCTCCCCACCACACCACACGCTCCTCCCCACCACACTCCTCCCCACCACACCACACGCTCCTCCCCACCACACCACACACTCCTCCCCACCACACCACACACTCCTCCCCACCACACCACACACTCCTCCCCACCACACCACACACTCCTCCCCACCACACCACACGCACCTCCCCACCACACCACACACACCTCCCCACCACACCACACACTCCTCCCCACCACACCACACACTCCTCCCCACCACACCACACACTCCTCCCCACCACACCACACACTCCTCCCCACTCCACCGCCCGCTGCTCCGGGGACGTTAACGAGAGCCGAGCGCGCAGCAGCAGCGGCGGCGGCAACATTAATCATCCATCGCCTGCATCGCACAAACCCACGCCTGGCACGCACAGCCTCTCCCTTCACTCTCCCTTCTCTCTCTCTCTCCCTTATCTCTCTCTCTCTCTCCCTTCTCTCGCTCTCCCTTCTCTCTCCCTTCTCTCTCTCTCCCTTATCTCTCTCTATCTCCCTTCTCTCCCTTCTCTCTCTCCCTTAGCTCTCTCTCCCTTCTCTCTCTCTCTCCCTTAGCTCTCTCTCCGGCTCTCCCTTATCTCTCTCTATCTCCCTTAGCTCTCTCCCGCTCTCCCTTATCTTTCTCTCTATCTCCCTTCTCTCTCTCTCTCCCTTCTCTCTCTCTCCCTTAGCTCTCTCTCCCTTCTCTCTCTCCCTTAGCTCTCTCTCCCGCTCTCCCTTATCTCTCTCTATCTCCCTTCTCTCTCTCTCCCTTCTCTCTCTCTCCCTTAGCTCTCTCTCCCTTCTCCCTCTCTCCCTTAGCTCTCTCTCCCGCTCTCCCTTATCTCTCTCTATCTCCCTTCTCTCTCTCTCCCTTCTCTCTCTCTCCCTTAGCTCTCTCTCCCTTCTCTCTCTCTCCCTTAGCTCTCTCTCCCTTCTCTCTCTCTCTCCCTTAGCTCTCTCTCCGGCTCTCCTTTATCTCTCTCTATCTCCCTTAGCTCTCTCCCGCTCTCCCTTATCTTTCTCTCTATCTCCCTTCTCTCTCTCTCTCCCTTCTCTCTCTCTCCCTTAGCTCTCTCTCCCTTCTCTCTCTCTCCCTTAGCTCTCTCTCCCACTCTCCCTTATCTCTCTCTATCTCCCTTCTCTCTCTCTCTCCCTTCTCTCTCTCTCCCTTAGCTCTCTCTCCCTCTCTCCCTTAGCTCTCTCTCCCGCTCTCCCTTATCTCTCTCTATCTCCCTTCTCTCTCTCTCTCCCTTCTCTCTCTCTCCCTTAGCTCTCTCTCCCTTCTCTCTCTCTCCCTTAGCTCTCTCTCCCGCTCTCCCTTATCTTTCTCTCCCGCTCTCCCTCTCGCTCGCCCCGACCCTCTCTATCACTCGCTCGCCGCTACTCTCTCTCTCTCTCTGTTCTCCTTTGCGCTCTCCCTCTTGGCCGAGTGTGATGTACCGTCATGTGCGATGATGTCTGCCTTGGCGTTGCCCATTGTCAGTCTGTGCTTGTTGTTCTCTCACCACCCACCAAGTCACGCTGGCTCCTTTTCCTGCATCACTCCCCCCCACTCCCCTCCACCACCCCCCCCCCACCACCCCACTCCTCTTCCCGTCCCTTGGCACCTAACGCCTCTTCAGCCGCTCGCCGTTTTATTTCGCTAACCTAGATTCGACACGCTCGCTCGCTCTCTCGTTCGTGGCCTCATTTCTGTCTCGTTGGCTTTTAATACACGCGCGGTCGTGGACTCGATGTGTGCTCGCGTTTTTTGCTTCGCTGGATTTCCTTTGCTTCATTGGTCGAGTTTTCGTGTTGTTGTTGTTGTCAATATTTTTGTTTCTTTGTTTTGTGTTTCTGTGACCGTCTGCCGTGCGATCGACTCTGCACATCCCGCACGCACGCACGCGCACACACGCACTCACGCGCACGCACGCACACACTCATACGCTCGCGCTCACGTACGCACTCACTCGCACGCGCTCCCGCACACACGCACTCATACACATGCACTCACGCGCACTCTCGCACACACGCACTCATACGCACATACTCACGCACTATGACGCACTCATGCGCACACACGCATGCTTCTTGGGATTCATTCATCTTCGTCCTTTTTATTCAACCTCCTGGAAATGTCACAATTGCTTCTCTCTGCTCGAATCATTAAAACAAACATTTCCTAAATATGTTTTATCAAAACGAACAAACCTTCTACAAACCGGCCTTCAAACCCTCCACCTCACCGCTAACTGCAATCACCCCGTAAATCACCGAACCAAACGTCGTAAAACCCCGTTGCCATCCATCGCCCAACATTTAACTGAACCTCCGACCCACCCATCGACCTAACAATCTAACAACACAACTCAATAACCTCCAACCAAACCATCGAACTAACATTCTAACAACACAACTCACCAACCCAACCATCGAACTAACAATCTAACAACACAACTCACCAACCCAACCATCGAACTAACAATCTAACAACACAACTCACCAACCCAACCATCGAACTAACAATCTAACAACACAACTCACCAACCCAACCATCGAACTAACAATCTAACAACACAACTCACCAACCCAACCATCGAACTAACAATCTAACAACACAACTCACCAACCCAACCATCGAACTAACATTCTAACAACACAACTCACCAACCCAACCATCGAACTAACATTCTAACAACACAACTCACCAACCCAACCATCGAACTAACAATCTAACAACACAACTCACCAACCCAACCATCGAACTAACAATCTAACAACACAACTCAACAACCGGATTGTGAAACCCATGCCTCAACGAATGCCACCAATGCCACCAACTCCAACCCTGTGACCCTTGCACCTATGACTTCCGAACACCATGAAACCTTCCAAACTGTGACCCTTTCCAACTGCGTCCCTGCGATTCGCGACCCTCCAACCCACGACCGTCCGACTTCCAACCCCCATGTACCCACGACCTCCGACCCTCGACGGACTCGCGTTGCCCCCCCCCCCCCCACCTCTGCTGACCTTTGCGACCTCTTGACCTGACGCCCGACCCCGGCCCATCCGGGCAGCCTACGACTTAGACGCAATGGGTCTGGAAGCGGAGGAGACTGATCTGCAAGGAAACCCTCGCTACCCTAAGGGCAGCGCAGGAAGCGCTGGCTCCACACAGGCCAATGCCAAGCGCAAGCCCTTCTTTAGGAAGGTACTGTTCCTATACCACCCTTAACTATTCCAACAATTTTGACTGTTGACCAGGTGAGGCCCACTGAGCTGACGTGCAGCTCTTTTTTTCAGAAGCGACCTGGCTATCGCGAATTAAAGCTCGACGTGGAGGCTTATCGTCGTGTGGACATTTATAGCAGCCGGATACTCTCAAACGAGTGATGTTCATTTTAAATGTGGAGGGGGGAAAAAAACACAGAGGACCCAGAGAAAAATCGAAGCGACCACGGGGAGAGAGACACGCAAACTCCAAACATACAGGCATCAGGGGTCGGGATTCAACCCACGATCTCCTGTACAACAGGCGAGGTAGTTAACATCTCACCACTGTGGCGCATGTAGTGGGGTGGGGGGGGGTAGGGAGAGGGTGTGGGGTGTGCCAAGTGCGGTGCTGCCACCTCGTGCGTAGCTACAGTGAGCCACGCACGGTGTAGTGAGCCACTGGTGAGCCACGCACGGTGTAGTGAGCCGCTAGTGAGCCACGCGCGGTGTAGTGAAGTGAGCCACGCGTGGTGCTAGATTTCCCAGTGTCGCGTATGGTGCCACATGCACAGCATCTCCTGTGTCAACATCGAATTCATGCTTGTGCATGTGAACGTGCACACACGTGTGCGTGTGTGCGCAGTGTCTGCACGTTCACATTTGTGCATTTTAAATAAATTGGGCAGGTGGAGTGTCACGAACGGGCCTTTAATCAATCTTTTAAGTGCTGCCAAAGAGAGAGAGAAGCACGTCATGTCAAGTTGATTTTGTTTAACCAGCTGGGAACTCAAATAGACAGGATGAGTCTCGTTGCAAGGGAGTCTTCCAGTCGGGGAAACAATGATTGCTGCTGTGTGTAAATTCCCAATTGTGTACGTTTTCGAATTTGGCAAATGTTTCACTCCCACGCCAACAATGCAGTGGCCTGCTCTTGCGAAGTACGTCACTGGATCTTTAACGTCCGCTGTGAAGGGGACGGCGCGTGGAATCGGCACGGTCGCTCCACCCACAGTGAACACACTACTCGCACCCGGGCGGACTGTGGGGGGAGGCCGCAGAGGAGAGGGAGGGAAGGACGTCCAGTCCAGTGGGGATTGATGAATGGAGCATTGGGCGATGAAGGTGCATAGAGAGGTGAAGAGAGAGGAGAAGAGAGAGAGGAGAGAGAGAGAGAAAGGGAGAGAGGTGAGGAGAAGGGGGAGGCAGTCGCTTTCTGGAGCAGAGTGAGTAGGAGAGTGAATATATAAGCCCATAGAGCCGGAGTGAGGTCATAAGGGCGACTGATGATGATGGAAAAGAGATTTGTCGTGTGTGTAGATGATTGTCTCTGCTGTTGGTGTGATGCAGTTAAATATAGTTATATATAGCAATATTTGTGAATAACAGTTAAACATAAATTGAGAATCCAGTTATCCGCTACCCTATTCATCACGAATCCCATAATCCATGGCCATGATATACGATCAACAGAAACTGTGTTCATATTCTTAGTTTTTTCGGTAAAGTCACGTTGAAGAGAAACAACAAAATAATAAAATATATATAAAACAATAAAAAAATATAGAAACTGTGTTATCCACGTGGTGTGGGAAACCCATCATAATCTCTGCTTTTTATCTGAAGCAAAATTTTCACGGATAAGAGGATTTTATATATTTTTTTACACATTCTGGAAAATAACTGAGATTTCTTCACATGCGCAAATGTACTGATCGACCAACATCGCTCCCATTCCCTACTAACATCGGCGCGGATAAAGAGGCATCACATTACATTTGGAAAGGCCCCGTATGTCGACTATTGATCACGCCGATCTCGTAAGTTACAAGATAACCAATCACATAATGCATCTCAATCTGTCCCCTCCACACATAAAAAAAACTAAATGCAAGTTGTACTCCTCCCGTCAACCACGTGGCCTTACCTAAAGTGCTGATTGTTGGGGGAAAGAGCAGCATCATCAGCAGCAGCAAGTCCTGTGTTGAGGCTTGCGTCAGCCTAAAACCCTCGCAGCGTTCGGTTCCAACACAAGCAAACTGTGGACCGGCTTTGACATGCAGTGTCTCGTCAGCAGAGTCGGTCTCGTTAGAACCGATGGTGGTGGTGGTGTTGGTTAACGGGGGTAGCCCCCCCCCCCGTAGCCCTCCCCGACACCCCCCGTGAGTCTTGACTGCCTGACTCAGCGCTCGGGGGGGGGGGGGGTCCGTGGCCATTAACAACGTCAGCAGCAGCGAGCATCGGGATCCTGGTGTGACTGCTGCCTCGTTTAGGCTGACGCAAGCCTAAACACAGGACTTGCTGATGCTGATGCTGCTGCTGATGCTGCTGATGCTCTTCCCCAACAATCAGCACTCTCGGTCGACAAAAGTTGTTCCCCCACCCCGATTGTGCTGCTGTAAGTGCTGTAAGTGCTGCTGGAAGTGCTGCTGTAAGTGCTGTAAGTGCTGGAAGTGCTGTAAGTGCTGTAAGGGCTGGAAGTGCTGGAAGTGCTGTAAGTGCTGCTGTAAGTGCTGTAAGTGCTGGAAGTGCTCTAAGTGCTGGAAGTGCTGTAAGTGCTGTAAGGGCTGTAAGTGCTGGAAGTGCTGCTGTAAGTGCTGCTGTAAGTGCTGTAATGGATGTAAGTGCTGCTGTAAGTGCTGCTGGAAGTGCTGTAAGCGCTGTAAGTGCTGCTGGAAGTGCTGTAAGTGCTGCTGGAAGTGCTGTAAGTGCTGCTGGAAGTGCTGGAAGTGCTGCTGGAAGTGATGTAAGTGCTGCTGTAAGTGCTGCTGGAAGTGCTGTAAGCGCTGTAAGTGCTGTAAGCGCTGTAATTGCTGTAAGCGCTGTAAGTGCTGTAAGTGCTGTAAGGGCTGTAAGTGCTGTAAGTGCTGCTGTAAGGGCTGCTGTAAGTGCTGCTGTAAGTGCTGTAAGTGCTGCTGGAAGTGCTGTAAGCGCTGTAAGTGCTGTAAGTGCTGTAAGGGCTGTAAGTGCTGTAAGTGCTGCTGTAAGGGCTGCTGTAAGTGCTGCTGTAATGGCTGTAAGTGCTGTAAGTGCTGTAAGTGCTGCTGTAATGGCTGTAAGTGCTGCTGGAAGTGCTGTAAGTGCTGCTGTAAGTGCTGTAAGTGCTGTAAGTGCTGCTGTAAGTGCTGCTGTAATGGCTGGAAGTGCTGCTGGAAGTGCTGTAAGTGCTGCTGTAAGTGCTGTAACTGCTGTAAGGGCTGTAAGTTCTCTAAGTGCTGGAAGTGCTGCCCTTAATCGGTGCTCGCTGACAGCGCCTGTCCCCAAGCAGTCGCGAAGGGGCTACACGGTGTGGGTGGTGTTTGCACACACACACGTGTGTGTGTGTGCTCATTCTCGCGTGAAGACAGTTCACGTGACACGCCCCACGCATGTGCTGATGTAATCAAAACTACTCCCCGGTCTGAATAACCCCACGGTACGTGGATGCGTGCGTGTATGCGTGCACCTTAAGGCTTTAAGGTGCACTTAGCCTGGCACAAGCGCCCTGGTGATGTCTACGCCACCTTAGCGGCGAATGGCGTTCGTTGTTTTTGTTGTATGCGTGCCTGTATGTGCGCGTGTGCGCGCGTGTGCGCGCGTGCGTGTGTGTGCATGTGTGTGCGTGTGTGTACATGTGTGTGCGTGTGTGTGCATGTGTGTGCGTGTGTGTGTGTGTGCATGTGTGTGCGTGTGTGTACATGTGTGTGCGTGTGTGCTTCCCGCTCTCCGTCTTGAGCCACGCAGGAGCACTCGCTCGATCGCGTAAGAGAGCAACGTGCCGTGCCGCGTCTGTGTGCGTGCGTGTGTGCCTACTAACGCTCCTCCCTGCCCCACCTCCACCACTTGCCTTGTCCCCTCTCCCACCCCTGGCCCCAACCCGACCCTCCCCCCCCCCTTCCCAACATCGTCCCCTTCTACTATCACCTCCCTTACCCCCCCCCCCTCTCCCTCAACCTGCCCCCTCCTCTATCACCCATTGCTAACACGCCTGGCAGCAGCCAAGCAGAAGCAGAAGGCGGTAAGAGAATCATCTCATAACCGTCCGCACCTCCCCCCCCGCGCGCGAGAACGTACGCCCCAACCTGCTGGGGTCGTGACCTTGAGTGACCCCGGCTTCATCGCTTGAAGTTACCTTGGTTTGTGATTTTTTTTTTAAATGACCTGGATTCTTGGCCTTAAGTTTCACGGCCCCTTGCTGGCAAGAGCCTTCTTCTTTCTCTAGAGCCAGGTGATATTGGGGCGGTGGGTGGCTTTTAGTTATCCATAACCGGGCGAGAGCCCCCGTCTCTCTTCCAAGGGAGATCAAGGGATGCAAATTCGGGAACAGAACTTCTATTAACGCCGTGTAAATATGTGCAGAAGAAAGGTCGAGGGAAAACCATTTAAAATTGGCATAATTTTAATTATTATTTTATATATTTCCTTTATTTTATTTTTTGTGCCGATGGCGCCCCGTAGCAGAAACAAATCACCCCGGTGCGTAACAGAGTTGCTTGACAAAGCCTCGACTCTGCCGATGAGACCCGGTGAACGGTTTGCCTGCGTAAAAACTAAAATTGTTTTGGAACATTGGTCCGGAAGAAGGGCAACAGGATAGGACTTGACATTCACGAACCACTGCTGTGAGCCGTGAGCAGGAATTCAACTCTGGTCACCGGCTTCCACAGCACAGAGTCGTATAACCACTGCCCTGCTCCTCTCCCAGCAAACTTTGCTAACGTCCGTTGTTTGTAAGATATCTATGTACATGAAGTCCTCATATGGCAGTGGTAATCTGCAGTCGGTGTCTGCTATTCAAAGCATTTCAATCATTTACATTCACGAATGCGAAATACATTGCAAAAATATATATTGCAAAAAATTCAGTCGAAAATCACGTGACCCTCTTCAACCTCATTACGTTCACTCTGAATCACCGCACCGCAAGACTATACGTCGCAACCAATGTGGAGATGGAGTTGGTACGACAGAATTGGATTGCATCGCTCGCCACCAGTGCCAGCAGGGAGACGCTTTCATCAGGCAGAGGGTCGATTCTTCTCTCTACTGCTGCCAATGTTGCCATCGCCGAGCAAACAGCTACGATTTAAAGTTGAGGTGGCCGAGCCGGATCGTTGTGTCGGCAGTAGCGGAGCGGTGTGCGTCGTCGCTGCGAATGCGACGCTCCCTCCGTGTTTGTGTATCGGGTGCCGAGTCGTCGTACGCTCCGCGGTTCTGTGCCGGGTGGTGACCACGGTCGCCGCACTCTGCCGGCCACTTGTTCGTTTTCCATTTGTGCGTCGTCATCATCGTCATCGCCGTCGTCTTCATCATCATCGTCATCACTGTCGTCACCATCATCGTCATCGAGTATCCACAGCTGATAGGGTTGATGATGGCTTTGTACGATGACTGTGGTGATGATGATGATGATGACGGCGTCCGTCCGTGATGTGCGACGAGGCCGTAATGCGCCGCTGTAATTTAAGCCCTCTCAGTCGACCGACCTTGGTGATCGATATTTTCCCTCGGCCGTGTTCGGCGTGAGACGGCCGCGGTCCGGTCTCGTGCTCTAAGTGCTCGTCAGCGATTATAAATATGTAACAGAAACGTCGCGTGCCGGTGCACCCACAGCTCGCACGACACTCCTCCTCCCTCCTCCCTCGTCCGCTTCTCTCAGAGAGCCTCGGTTTCAGCGTTCACCTGCCGGACTTAACGACGTATGGCAAACACCCGTCGGGGGATAATTTCGGACGTCCGTGTCATAAATGTTTCTGCGCCCAGCGCGCACCGCTTGACCTTAACCCTTGTCCTCCCTCTTCGGCCCTTTCCCTCGGCGAGAGTCGACACTTGTCCGGGATGTTTGCATCGTCGTCCTCAATTTTGAGGTAGCCTTGATAATAATGATATCATAATTGATATCTGTAAGGCGCATATCATCCATGGATCCACGACGCGCCGATCTCTCGTGATGGGAAATCTGCTAAGTGTTTCCCGAAATATTGAAGGTTAAAAGTCCCAGTTTTTGTCAGCAGCACGCGGTTCTCCTCCCCACTCGTTCTTTGTGAGACAATCTTACTCCCTTGATCTGTCCCGGTTTTATTTATTCATTTTACACCTCAGAGGCGGCGGGTTTACTGTGTTCAACCAGGTGAGAAGTCGAGAGGCAAGGACAAGTCTCATTTTGCAAGACTGACACGACTAGGCCCACTCCAATTTACCACTGAAATGGAAAATATCCGGTGAGCAATCAAGAGCAGTGATTCCTCACCGAATTAGCAACTAATCGGGAGGTGCGGGGGAAGGACGACAAGCAAATGAGCAGTGGAAGCAACGTGAAATTTGACAGAGAGAAACAGCGGCGTGACGTTGATTAACGTCGCAGAAAAGTAAACAAAACTAAACACTAAAAGGCCCCGGTTCACGTGGTGGTATGCGATGACGTCCCTCGCCGTCCGGAGTTTCGCAAACAAACGCCGCGGCAGCGTACAGGTCGTGTCGTCAAAATTACTGAACCTGGCCACAGATGCTTCTCTGAGAGCGGTCACCGTGTAAACTAAAACTAAACTATGTTTTGTTTTATTTTATTTTACCAGGTAAGGCCCACTGAGCTGTAAAAAATCTTTGTCAGAAGCGACCTGGCCATCACAAATGTTGGGCCAACGATGTGGCTTATCATCGTTTGGAAATGTATAGCAGGCAAATGGTCTAAACGCGCGATGTTGATTCTAAACGTGGAGGGTAGAATCCACGCGACCACGGGGAGAGAGAGACACCGCAAACTCCAAATATGCAGCAGGCATCAGGGTGAGGATGAAACCCACGACCTCCTGTATACTTGGCGAGGTAGTTAACATCTCGCCACCGTGTACCCTCTCCACACCTCCCCTCCATCCTCGCCCTCCCCGTCTCCTTCCGTCACCGCCAGACGGAGAATGTTCCTCCGTACGACGTGGTGCCGTCCATGAGGCCCGTGGTGCTGGTGGGACCGTCGCTCAAGGGATACGAGGTGCGGCGCAACAACAACACCACCAACTACAACAACAACAACACCACCACCAACAACAACTACAACAACAACACCACCACCAACAACTACAACAACAACACTACCAACTACAACAACACTACCAACTACAACAACTACACCAACAACTACAACAACAACACCAACTACAACAACACTACCAACTACACCAACTACAACAACACCACCAATTACACCAACAACAATTACACCACCAACTACAACACCAACAACAACACCAACTAGAACAACAACTACAACAACTACAACAACACCACCAACAACAACAACTACAACAACAACTACAACAACAACAACACCAACAACAACAACTACAACAACACTACCAACTACAACAACAACTACAACAACAACTACAACAACAACACCAACTACAACACCACTACCAACTACACCAACTACAACAACACCACCAATTACACCAACTACAACAACTACACCAACAACAACACCACCAACAACAACACCACCAACTACACCAACTACAACAACAACTACACCACCAACAACAATACCACCAACTACACCAACACCAACTACACCAACAACAACTACACCAACAACAACAACACCAACTACACCAACAACAAGAACTACACCAACAACAACAACACCAACTACACCAACAACAACTACACCAACAACAACAACAACACCAATTACACCAACTACAACAACAACTACACCAACAACAACACCACCAACTACACCAACTACAACAACAACTACACCAACAACAACAATACCACCAACTACACCAACACCAACTACACCAACAACAACTACACCAACAACAACAACACCAACTACACCAACAACAAGAACTACACCAACAACAACAACAACACCAACTACACCAACAACAACTACACCAACAACAACACCAATTACACCAACTACAACAACAACTACACCAACAACAACACCAACAACAACAACACCACCAACTACACCAACACCAACTACACCAACAACAACTATACCAACAACAACAACACCAACTACACCAACAACAAGAACTACACCAACAACAACAACAACACCAACTACACCAACAACAACTACACCAACAACAACAACACCAATTACACCAACTACAACAACAACTACACCAACAACAACACCACCAACAACAACACCACCAACTACACCAACTACAACAACAACTACACCAACAACAACAATACCACCAACTACACCAACTACACCAACAACAACTACACCAACAACAACAACTACACCAACAACAACAACACCAACTACACCAACAACAACACCACCAACAACAACACCACCAACTACACCAACTACAACAACAACTACACCAACAACAATACCACCAACTACACCAACACCAACTACACCAACAACAACTACACCAACAACAACAACACCAACTACACCAACAACAACTACACCAACAACAACAACACCAACTACACCAACTACACCAACAACAACAACAACTACACCAACTACAACAACAACTACACCAACAACAACACCACCAACAACAACACCACCAACTACACCCCTACAACAACAACTACACCAAGAACAACAATACCACCAACTACAACACCACCAACTACACCAACAACAACACCACCAACAACAACAACAACAACACCAACACCAATACCACCAACTACACCAACACCAACTACACCAACAACAACACCACCAACTACACCAACTACAACAACAACTACACCAACAACAACTACACCAACAACAACAATACCACCAACTACACCAACACCAACTACAGCAACTATACCAACTACACCAACGCCAACTACAACAACAACTACACCACCAACTACACCAACAACAACACCACCAACTACACCAACAACAACACCACCAACTACACCAACTACAACAACAACTACACCACCAACTACAACAACAACAATACCACCAACTACACCAACACCAACTACACCAACAACAACACCACCAACTACAACAACAATTACACCACCAACTACACCAACAACAACAATGTCACCAACTACACCAACACCAACTACATCAACAGCAGCAGTGGGATTAGGCACGAGGAAAGAAGAGATGGCCAGGTGTAGTGGCATCGACAGCGCCGGACGTCATGACCTCTGACTTTTAACCATCGCCTGTCATTAACAAAGCCACAGCTACGAGTGAATTTACAGAGTATACCCAGAAATGCTATTGCAGCCACAACCCTACGAGTGAATTTACAGAGTGTACCCAGAAACATTATTTCAGCCATACCCACTAAACAAACCCATACAAAATGTACACGGTGTACACCGACATACCGCTAAGGGGCTGTAACAAACATGAAGATGCGTGCGTGTGTGTGCGAATCTCGCCCCCCTTCCCCCAGGTCACTGACATGATGCAGAAGGCCCTCTTTGACTTCCTGAAGCACAGATTCGAGGGGCGGTAAGCGGGGGGCTTCATTGTATGAAATAATAAGAATAGGGTGTTAACCCTTTCTGGCAATAAAACAAGAGGTGTTAAGATGTTCCAACACCAAAAGATGAACCTTTTGCCAGGAATCAAAGTCTGCATTAACCACACGTACTTGTGGTGAACATGCAAACAAACGTGCTCTGATAATTAATATATGATGCATTGTCTTTGAAACTGATTGGCCTACACCAGAGATGGCCTTCTTTAGGGCCTCGTCTCACCAGTGTCAGACCAGAGAACAATGGAAAAAGGTGACCAGTACAAAGACAATGCCACTGTCAGACAGTACAAAGACAATGCCACTGTCAGACAGTACAAAGACAATGCCACTGTCAGACAGCACAAAGACAATGCCACTGTCAGACAGTACAAAGACAATGCCACTGTCAGACAGCACAAAGACAATGCCACTGTCAGACAGTACAAAGACAATGCCACTGTCAGACAGTACAAAGACAATGCCACTGTCAGACAGTACAAAGACAATGCCACTGTCAGACAGCACAAAGACAATGCCACTGTCAGACAGTACAAAGACAATGCCACTGTCAGATAGTACGAAGACAATGCCACTGTCAGACAGTACGAAGACAATGCCACTGTCAGACAGTACAAAGACAATGCCACTGTCAGACAGTACAAAGACAATGCCACTGTCAGACAGTACAAAGACAATGCCACTGTCAGACAGTACAAAGACAATGCCACTGTCAGACAGTACAAAGACAATGCCACTGTCAGACAGCACAAAGACAATGCCACTGTCAGACAGTACAAAGACAATGCCACTGTCAGACAGTACAAAGACAATGCCACTGTCAGACAGTACAAAGACAATGCCACTGTCAGGGCATTTATAGCTCGAGGTGAGCAGCTACAAAATGGGGCCTTTCTGGGGGCTTCTTTCTCACTCGCTAATCCACATCACTGGTGGACTGGAGCAGGCACGTGACGAGCAATGGTAGCGTCACCGCGCCAACATCAGGACGATGACTTTAACCCACGTCCCACAGCGTCGAGTCGGCCGTGTTTCCCGTACAAACGTGTGGGCAGTGCTCATTGTATAGAACATTTTTAAACCACCGAATCGCGTGCACAACCACCATCACGTGATCCAGGGTCTCTCGAGGAGGTGTGTGGTAGTGTGTGTGGAGGGGTGACCGGCTGGATCAGGGATTCGGAGACACTGAGGCTGCAGTGCTGAGATTCTGGGTTCCAGCTGCCCCTGGTGTAACTATTAACTCGTTAATTATTGATATTTTACCAGTTAAGGCCCACTGATCTATATAGCTAATTTTCAAAAGCGGCCTGGCTATCACAAATGGTCGCTTAAACATCTCCCCACCTTGGCGAGATGTTTAACTGGCTTCTCAAGTGGAGCGAGTTGATGGGTCTTGGTCACCAAATACTGCACCCCAAAAACTCAGTGATAATGTTTTCATTGAATTGGCTAAACTACAACTCTGACCATTAAAAACATTGATATTGTATTGACGGTTATGAACATTTCTGTCTGGAGCTGGGCGCGAGTTGAAGTGGATTTTTTTTATAAAAACGTCACTCGAACGGATCTCAGGGACAGTTCTGTGGTATCTGGCTCAGCGGACCATTCTCCACACGCACACGGTGGGTGGGGAATGTGCACCGCTGTGCGAGACTCCCCAGTGGGCGCTTCGTCTCTTGGAACGACGCTGATCGCGTAAATCACCCAATTAGTTTGAGCTATCGAACAAACGATATTTCATTTGCAGTTTTGGAACAGCATTGTAAGTATAAAATGTTGAAACGGGCGTGCGTGTGCGTTTGCAGCATCTCCATCACGCGCGTGACGGCCGATATCTCCTTGGCCAAGCGCTCCGTCCTCAACAACCCCAACCGGAGACCAATCATCGAGCGCTCCAACACTCGCTCCAGCATCGGTGGGTCCCCCGGAGACCCCCACCATCCCCTCCGCCCCCTCACCCCCTCACCATTCCTTTCTCCTCCCCATACTCGTCTACCTGTCACCCCTTCTTTCTCTCCCCCCGCCCACCCCTACCTCTTTACTTTCCCCTGACCCCTTCCCCTGACACCCCCTCCCCTCCCCATCCATCCCCACCCCCTCCCACCCCCCTGCTAAAAGTGCAACTTGTGTTTTCATCCCTGCGCGGTGAATAAAATGAGTTGCCGCTTTGTGTGAAATGAGCAGCTGTTGTTCGAACGGCCAGATAAACTCGTCGCCTGCTATAGGAATGCGGGACTTGGATCGTCCAAAAAACACTTCAACTTTGGCTTCAACTGGCCTGGCACCGTGATGATGATGATGGTGACGACGACGATCCGTTCCTGTAATCCAGCGACGTGGAGGCAGGGTTGATGGAACCGCGCCGGTGATAATAATGCGCGTTAACCTCGACCAGCCCGCCCTGACCAGCATGGTTCAAGTATGGGGTCAAACAACCCTCGCGGCTCCCACGGCATTGGGTGACCACCATCCAGCAGTGGATACATGACGGTATACTTGACCGCACTGCGCACGTGTGTGCGTGTACGACCGTGGACACGCGCGCGTGTGCGCACAGCGGCGGTGCGGTCCGACGCGATGGTGCGCGTTGCATAATTGACGAGGTAGTAATCGGGCCCGGCTCGTTTGTCATGTTTACATCGTGCGCTGGAGTGGGGGGCTTCGGCCGGGGGTGATGTAAACACGCCGCTCCTTCAGGCACGACGGCCCAGCTTGCAGGCGTAGCCTACTTCTTCACCCCTCCCCCCCCCTCATAACATCTCCCGTGCCCTCGACCTCCCGTGCCCAGTTAAAAATCGGAACGTTTATTTAGACTGGAGGAATCCAATGAGCTACAAAGCTCCTTTTCACAGATGTCCAGTAGGGGTCCAGGGTCAGAACGTTAGCCACAGCGAGGGAACAGCCACCCACTGCCCGCGGCCATGGCATCGACGCTCCTGCTGCCGCAACTTCTCCGTCCTGTCCCGCAGCCCCGCCAAATCCCCTGATGAGATCCGCGAGAGGGGTAGGGGATGCTGCCTTGGTGTAAAGGGCGAGAGTGCACAGCACTTGCGATTCACGGGTCGCCGGTTTCCTCCGGTCTCCCAGCGCGGCCGAAACGATCGGGGCGAGGTGCTTGAATCCACCCCTGCCTCCGACGCTCCTCGCCGTTCTCCGTCGTCCACCCGGCAGAGTAAAGGGCCACACCGCCGTAAGCTGACCGGCACGTCACGCGCCTGGGTGGGCTAAAAGTGTTGGTCCTCCAGGACCCTCCGGCCAGCGTGAAAGAGTAGGCAAAAAAAAACGATGCGTGAAAAAAACATTGCACGCGCTCGCGATTACCCCCTAGGCAAGAAGAGTTGAGCGTTTGTCAATGTGCTGACTAGCACGGTTGGCTGCGTACGGTGCGAAAGATGTTCAACATGCGTACAATCTAGCGGGGCCCTCTGGAGCTCGCGCGAGCAGAGGCCCTTCCGCCATCAGCGGCGTCAGCACAGCAGTGGCAACGCCGCCGCGCCTTCGCCGCTTTCTACAACTCGAGACGTGACGTCTCGCTCGCGCGAGCGCGATCAGTCGTGTTTACAGGCGCCGATTTCGTCGCTCCGTCGTCCGCGGCGGGAGCGCTCACCTCCGGACACTCTCCATTCCTTTGAGACGGATCGCAAACAACCGATACTCACGAGCACGGTTCGATGCATGTGTCGTGAGCGTGAGGATCGATCGTATCGGACGAGCCGCCGTACGCTACCGTCCGTGTCGCCACATCGGATTAAACCTCAACTAATTTTTTTATTTTACCAGGTAAGGCCCACTGAGCTATTATAGAGCTCTTTTTCAGAAGAGATCTGGCTATCGCAAATGATAGCTCAACGAAGTGGAAATGTATAGTAGCCTAAACGTGGAGGGAAAAACCGGAGGACCCGGAGAAATATCCACGCGACCATGGGTAGAACACGCAGACTCCGAATATACGGCAGGCGTCAAGGCTCGGGTTCTAACGCACGACCTCCTGCGCACCAGGCGAGGTAGCTCACATCTCCTCGCCACCGTCGCGCCCCTCAACGTGGCAAAGCCACGCCCCAGTGACTCGCTCGAGTGGAGTGTGACCGCACTCCAAAAACTCACTTTCAAGTCTTTTTATTGTATACGTGTAAATCAACTCCCCTGAGAGTCACGTGTCGCCTATCGCGGGACACACAGCTGGTGGACGCATCCGCCAGGCAAGAGCCTCCTCCTGACTCATGGTGCAACCAGCGGCCGACTGTCCAGCGGGAGGCAACGATTCTTCGTGTCGTTCGAAAATGCCTCTGCACATTTGGAATGTTTGAGATGTCTGTCTCTGTTCGTCGCGGTGATGTTTAGCAGCGCTTGGGGGGGGGGGGAAGGGAAACTAAAAATGCGGGATGACATCTGCCCCCACCGACGTGTTTGGACGTTGCAGAGTGGCAGCAGGGTGGTTGTTTATTTATTTATTTTCATCTGCTCCGCCGTTTTTTTTTGATCGGAGGAATTTGCAGGCATTCGTGGAAAATTCGGCGAGCGAAAAGGTGCGGTGCATCGCAGCACTTGCGTGGAAAAATAACAGCAACGCCTGCAGCTAATGTGCTCATTCGTGATTTGAAATGAATGAAAATACGCGCGACATGATGATGATGTTGATGATAATAATAATAGCAAAACAAATTCCGGACAAACAAATAAAAAGTTAACGTTCTCTGCGGACGGCCTTTCTAAAGCCAAGTCACCCACAAAGTGAATTGGATATACCGTAGCTGCGTATGGATCATTATTATGACAGCGTTGTTATTATTACATCAACGACTTTCCTATGGAGACACTGGCTCCTGCCATAGGAAGGTGGAATTCAACAACTGGCTTAGGGCCACTAACAGAAGATGAGCTTCGCCCAATGCTCGTCTGAATGCAGGGTCACTCATGCGATCGCCTATTTTCGACGAGCGGGACAATTTTAAACGAACACTAAGCAGTTTAACGATTCTCATTATTCTTGTCGTTTATAAGTTTGCCAATCGCCCCGCCGGGCTTTGCGATAACGCCCCGCGTCGGTCGGCATCGACGCGGGGCTCCGCCAAGCCGCGAGCCACCGCCGCTACCGCCGCCGCTCTCCGCCCGGTTCCCCGCGGTGGCTTGCGCCGCGCACACCCCCCACCCACGGCGTTCGGTTGCGACCATGGAAACGTTCGTCGACGATTGACTTTTTGGGCGAACGGCGAGGTGGGCGAGAATCGTCGAGCGCGGCGACGATGACCGTGGCTGCTTGCCCGCCCGAGGACCGAATGCCGAGCCCGGGTGAAGACGCAGAACCGCGACGGGTTTAGTGACGCGAAGGGAGGCGGCAGCGCGCCGAGGAAGAACAAACATGGCAGTTGATTACGTGTGTGTGTGTGTGTGTTTGTACAGGGTCCCTTTTACTCGGTTCACTAATTGGCTGAGTTTATTGGGTGGGGGAGAGGTGTGATGGGGAGTGGATTCGACGTGCGACTCAATTCAGTCGACGAGACTTGGAGAACGACAGAGCCTAAGTCATCGCCGACAAGGCCCAAGACCAAAACTCATTAATTCTGACTGCATTAACACCAACTCCCGCTCCCGGCACTCACAGAAATGGACAGATCTACAAAGCGTTTGTTTATTTTCCACTGATTTGCAGATCTTGCGGAGAAAGCCACGGGGAAAACGTAGGAATGAGTGGCCAGTAATGGTGATGGATCGTGGCTCCAGGTTCAGGAGGATACAAAGTCTCATGCCTTGGGTTTTCCGTGGTCGGGTAAAGTACACGGGTGAATGGTTGGACGATCAAAGTAAAAATGAAAATTGTTATTCCGATTTGCGATATTATCGGCGTCGTGTGGTGAGATAAATAATCCATTCGGAATGCTTTCAGAGCAGTGCCCCGTGCTAGAGAACAGCCTACGAAGGGTGATATCACTCTCCTCTTATCCACAACACTTAGGGGGCACCACATTGCGCATGTCCTGCTGTGAGAAATATCTGGTATTTTTCATTCTCTAGAGCTGTAATTTGGCCAAATTACATGACAAACAGAAACCCATTACTATCCAGGAGGTTCACCGCACTTGAGAACTCAATTTAATTACGGGCGGTGGAAAACCTGGATTTGAACCCAAGATCTCAGTTTTGTCGGCTCAGTCCTCCAGCCCATGAACCACCCGGCCACCTCGTATGAAAAGCCATTCATAATTTATGAACGGAATAGCAGTTTAGTGCTGTCACCAGAAACAGTTCTCCTCGGAAGTTGCATGGGCTGCATGCGTCCCCTCTGGTGGAGATTGCATTGATGACGAAGCCACTGTTAGTGCATTCCAGTTTATGGTTCTCCACGTGAGGTCTCTGCGTGAGTCTATGGTTCTCTCTGCACATCTATGGGTCTCTGTGCAAGGCCACGGGTCTCTTGCGCTCATGATAAAATCGGTGCCATCGCGTTCCGCTGAATTAATCCGCCCGCACACGTGATCGGCTGACAACTGAAAAACCCGGGGAGGACTTTGGTAAACTCCTCAAGCTGGAGTCACGAAACATCACTGGTTGCAACGTATCTGTACTTACAGTGGCGAATTGCTCGCAATTTGCAGGTTATTATTTTTCTTTGTTAAAGTTTAAGCAAAAATATCTTCTCGAGTGTACATGAATAGTGTAGAGCGGTGAGATGAAATTAAGCACTCAGTTATGGTATTGGGCCCAACCTTTCAACGTAGGAGCCTCCTGAAAGGCAGTTTTGAGACTCGGTGAGACTTGGCCGTGAAAGAGCCAGCGCATCGTCAATATTAATTTTGGGTTTGGTATTATTGCCACCTTTCTTCCCGGACCATATTTCAAAAGTCTTGCCTAGGTTTATTATCGAATCTGCGTCGGTACCCTACAATAAAGTTCAGTGCAATACCTTGATACCACAAATCAAAATCCTTCCACCCGAACACATGTAACTTTCCCGACTGCACATATCAAAACCGGACAAATAACGACGGTACATCCAGATTATGTAATGCATTTCATGGTTGGAATATTACTACTGTATCTTATATACAAATTGCAATATTATTTCGTATTGTATGATCCTCATCATGGAAGTGCGTTCATAATAATTTGCTGCAACACTCCTATTATGAATTTTATATTCCCCCCCCCCCCCCCCCATGGAATTATCGATGCATTAACTGTATTGTATTGTTATTATTCCACTACGGTATTATCATAAGTGACAGTAAACCAACCTTGGCAGTGAGATCCATTTCTGGTGCCCGTGCCCCCTGATCCCCTGACCCTTTGACCCCAGTGACCCCCGTGTCTGCAGGGTTCATGCAAACGGGGCCATGAGAGATGAGACCCATCATGGCCCCCCAGCAGCCTATAGAACCCTCAACACTGCCCACTGCTGTCTGTACACAGCGGTGTCACTCGCGACATTCGGGAGTCAAAAAGCACTCCCTCTCAGAGGCTGCTCCCAGCCCGGGTCATAACGAAGGCCACAGGCCATAATGAAGACCCTTGGCTTTGCAGGAAGGCCATACAGTGAAAAGGCCTCACATTGAAGGCTTTCAGTCTGTGGTTAAGGCCTCTAGCCAAAACTCAAGGCCATACTAACAGTGAAGGTCTCCAAATCTTCAAGACCCCCATTACATTTTCAAGGCCTCTGTTAGATGCTCGAGGGCCCATTCTGTGCTAATGATTCTAGGCCCTGCTGAAAGCGTATCCGTTAATGCTTAATTCTCTTCGTTGAGTACTGAAGGCTTCGATTGATCAAGAAGGCTTCGAATTATCATTAAGCCTTCTCAGTCCACGTCCGTGGGCCCGCAACTATGTACAAATTAGCGGTCGGCACTAAATTAAGGCGCTCGATTGATTAAATAATACCGTGGCGTACGACGACCCCCCTGGCACTTCTGTGCCTGTGGTCACGCTTCACGAAGGCACGACGAACGGTCGCCACTCATCAGCCCCCCCCCCCCCCCCCCCAATTGCCCAGAGCTGAGTGACACCGCTGTTTCTCGGACTCCGCTGTTCCCCCTTGAGCGTGCATTGTGAATGAGCGAGCGCTTTCTCCCCCCTCCCCCGCCGCCTCCCCCCACCTACCTTGGATCCGCTGCCCCTTGTCCCCTTGGTTCAAGGCCCGGCTGTGTGCGTACGTTTAAAAAGGAAAAAGCGCCGTTTTTTTTTCTTCTTCCTGCATTCGTTTCTTTTTCCCGCTAACCGATTGTGTTTCGCCATCTCTGTCCGCTGTCTCTCACTGTCCGTGCCTCCCTGCAGACGTTCTGGGTATGTATTTGCCGCTGGACCTTGCTCATGACCCCTGACCCCTCAACCCCACCTCTCGCCGTGTGCTGCCCTCCGACCCCATGCCAGCTGAGCCCCTTCCCCGCATGGCACACCAAAGATTTCACCGCGTGCGTCAGTGCTTCACGAACCAGCGGCTGTGGACCTCGGGTTGCATTTATATATTCGTTGTTCGTCGTTTATGATTTCACAAACAAGAACTGGATCTTTTTTTTGTTACGTAGAGCACGCGAGTGCTTAACGCCGAACGCTCAGAAACTGGATATGTACAATAATACATGACAATTTAATTTGGTATTATGCGGCGCCGGATACCATTTTGTTGTTTACTCGGCGGACCGTCACTTCGCTGCGTACAGCCTCTGAGCAACCCTTGCTGGTGGCGGCGCAGCCCCCACGACAGCCTTGCCAACGTGGGTGTGGGTGGTGGTGGGGGGTAGAGTTCACATCGACGCGCCCAGCCTGGTAGAGTCAGTGGGTACCTGCAGGTATCTTATCCAGTACCACGTTACCAGGACTGGAAGCACATTCGAGCGTCCCTATCTATACCCGCCTCCCAATTCAGGACCAGTGGTACTCTTTCTTACGTACAGCCACGCCGGTGCTGCAGCTCCGTTGATCCTTGAGCTGCCTCCATTCGAAGTTACTGCTGCACAAGGGCAGCGCCTTGGCATTGTTCAATAATTCCATGTATCGGCTGTTGCAATTGGGTTAGAGTCAGGACCATGATTTAAAATGCACGCCTACTCTCGAGTATGATCTCCCATCTGACAATGAGCCAGCCACCCATAATCTGCTAGCTATAACCCTAATCTGGGAGCTCAGTCTTCCTTTCAAAGTCTGCCCTCTGATGGCAACTCTAAGGACTCTTCCCCTGCCCCCCCCCACCCCATCCATTACTCGCTTTCAACAGTCACTGTGAATCAATATGCAGGAGCCAGGAGGCCTATGGCCTTGCCCTTAGCCTCTTCTGGCGGGCAGGGTTAACCGCCGAGTAGGGATGCACCCACCGCCATGAACCCCAGGCAGGTGTCTTCGCAGAGACATCAGCTGGGCTGGGTCAGCCAGAAAAAGAGTGAGCCTCATGAGTAAAATGCTGCGGGTGTTGATGGTAGCTCGTGGCTTCGGGGAGTTTGAGGATGCTCCAAACGACACCTCATTATTTTCTGTCTCGTGACGATCGAAAAATGCAGAAGTGGTTGTGCCGCGCCAGACGCACGCTGCCGGGAAGCCGCCTGTGGTCGTGCGCCCCGTTTGGTGACGACGGCGCTGGCGACGAAGCTACTGCCAGCGCGCATCCCAGTTACCAGTGAAGCCGTCTGAGCACAGGTCATCACGTGAGGCTTGGAAATAATAAAAATAAAAAAAACCCGGTGCGGAGTTTGTAACTTCACCGAACCGGAGCCACGAGCCACCGCTAAAAGGGAGGGCCTACACCACATGAGGGCCTTAGTGCCATTGTCGGCTGATTGCGTGTTAATGCGGGCCCCCGGTCATTGAGGTGGGTTTTTCTCTTTAGATTTTGCGTTCGGGAGGGAATTTTATTCATTTGCTGACTTCGTCGGCCCAAGGTCCACCGCTCGCCGCAGGCTGACTTCACCGCGTTGAACTTGACTGCAACCCTCTGGAGTGTAGACATCACCCTCATACTAACCCTCTCTGGCATCGTATCCGAGTGGCGTTCTTTTGAAATGCCCGCGCGTGCGCACGCGGCTGATATTTGAAGCCGAAGCATGTAATCGCGAGTTCGCGTTTAATCGGTCATTACCGACATTCTGCACATAACCCTTTTAAAGAGTCCCCGCAGAGACGCGCACACGCACGGGCGCGTCTTTGTGATCGGGGTGAGCGTGCTCGCGATGCGAGGCTTCTGAAATTCAAGTTCTCGCGTCTCCCCCACCGACGACCATCGTCACGCTTGCATTTGTGCAGTGTGTGCCCTCCCCTGGGGAGAACACCAGAGTACATGTAGAGCCCCTCTCTCCCCCCACCGCCACTCTCCTCCGCATCCATGTACTCAGACAAAGGAGCCACGCACAGCCTGTAACAGAGTGTTTGGGCAATTGCTGTTAGCGAGCACCAATGAAGGCCGGTACTGCGCAAGATGGGATGGTGTGGCTACTAGCACCGCGCCTTTGACTCCCCCACCCCCCCACCCCCAGTGCTGATGTTTTACACACCGCACCAGGTATTCAAGGCTGAGTCCAGCCAGGGGAGGCCCCAGGACCAGTTCAAATATTCGCCACTGTTATACAGACATATGCACACGCGCACACTAATTCGCGCGACACGGGAGGGAAAATCATTCGGGTGCGGAAATCTGGAAACGAAAAAAGCAACCGAATAAAAACAGCAGTTAATATCGTGAGCGTTGTTTAGAACTTGTTCATATTAAAACAATAGCATACATTAACACTCCTGCATTTCCTTATGGTGAAACAAGTTAAATTTATTTCGTGGGCCCCCTATTCGGGAGTTGTCAGCCGTGGAAAAATGTCCCCTTTGACCTCCCCCCCACTCCCGCTAAATCCCTTAAACCAGGGTGCTGCACTGAATGGCAAACGATCGGTAAAGCGTGGAGACAGAGAGAGGGGAGGTGGGGTGGCCAGGATGGCGGCTCGATGGGGGGGGGGGGGGGCGTGAGAACCGGGGGGGCTAGTGGAACACTGAGGACGCGAATGAAAGCCGCACGGAGCTTCTTCGTCGAATGCCCTAGTAGTTCGCCAGAGTTTTGGCTTTGCTCCCTACGAGCCTCGAACCCGTTGGGAAATCGTGCAGAGTGGTGCTCGGCGCTCGCACCTCTGTGTCACGAGAACGGCCGCTGAAAGACGTCGCCCAAAAACATCCTTCGGATTGCCGCGCTGGCGTCGCGACCAATGTCACAATTCGTACTTAGTTTCTTCTTGGGTTTGGATTATGTCAATTGTTGACAACCTGGTTCTAATCTCCAGCCAAACGTTGTATAAAAGTTGTGTTGCTCGCTTTTCAACATTCCTCCGTTTTGGTTGAAACGCTCACGATCTAACCCAAAAACAAAACGGATTGTGGCCCACTTCATAAATTGTACACAGCAGGGGGGCGCACTTTCCCCACACACTCCGTCCTTGACGAGATCGGTCGCTCGACAAAGCGATCACTTTCCAGAGTTGGAGGTTGAAGTCAGCCCGATGGCGATGAGACAGAGGCACAGACCGTGTTGTGTCCTGGGAGTTCCGTGCGTCGCTTTCATCCACAGCATTCTCCTTCGGGGTGGACTTCACCGGTTTCTCCGTGTAGCTTTCACGGCGCGCGCGTGAGGGTCTCTCTGCGTCCGTGCGTGTGCGCGTGGGGGAGGGGGGGGGCACGCGATGCATCCCCCCCCCCCACCACCACCCACCGCGTCTCGCCACCGTGCCGCCCGTGTCACCAAACACCTCGCTCGGAACTCCTGAACAACCGCACGCTCCAAGCCCCAGATTCACCAAACTCGTATATGCTCACGTCACCAGCGAAACACTCTCGGCTGAACCGAACAAACAGTCGGCGTAGTTTGATTCTGCCGACACCCCCCCCACACCTCCCCCCCTCCCCAGTAAACATGAAACGTTGAAGTCACCGTTTGCCCAGTGTCTGCCCAACGTTGCATGTTTACTGGGTTCCACCTCCAAATTCGAGTAACTGCTATCGTTGAACTTCTTTCACACCGTACGTAGCCAACCGTGTGAATCGGAGGTGCTGGGTGAAGGACAACAAACTAAACACAAAAAGCAGCTCTCAAGGAATGAGTTTTCTTTTTAGCACCTGCAGTAAAGCACTGTGGTCCGCGCTTCTTCGACGAAGGAGGAGGAACAGCAAAGCGACACGAACTCTCTCCTGATGCCCTCTTCGTCATAGCCGGCAGACCACGACATTGGCTCCCGAGCCGTTTTGCTGCCATTCGCCTGAAGAGGATAGCGCCTCTAGTGGCTGCAGGATGTTTTACGTGAACGAATCGCATGCGACCTGAGCGAATAGCGCACCAATTACAGGCGAATCTTTTCTCGTGCGCGCACGATTCGATGCGTAAGAATCGATTTTGTGAATCGGTGGCACGGTCACGTGTCGAGTAGTACGTCACAAAGCCGAGTGTAACCATCACAGTCACGTGTTCAATAACCCGTGTGGCTACAATGCACGTCAGCAATTAAGTTGTGGTGATTAATTGATTGTCTCGCGTCTAACTCTTTTTGACTTGTGCTGTTTGTGCACTCACGGTCTGTCCATCCCTGTTGTGGTGATGGACCCCAGTAAGCACTCCAACGTTGAGCCAACGTTGGAATCTGGTCGGAACCGTAAGGCCGACGTTGGCCCAACGTCCCATGCTTACTGGGTAAGTGGTGCAGTGGTTAACGCAATTAGCTACAAAACACAACTACTCGAGTTCGAATCCCGGCCATGGCTTACATCAGTGACGAGGGATATCAGAACCCTTTCTCCCTTCAACAAACCTGGAAGGCTTTCATCCAGCAGTGAATTGACGAAGGGCCATATATACTCGACTCGGTACTTAGGCCTCCCTTGAGTCGACTCAGCCATTAAATGAGTACCTGGTTCTGTGTAAACATCAGCGCCGGTGACGCCTCTGGGCTTGGCGTTGGCCACATCGCCCACCCCCTTGCGCGCCGTGCCGACCTTAACGAGTGCTGCGCTAACAGCACTTCTCCCCACAGCCTGCGTGGGCTACACGGGGGACATTTGGTCTTGTATGTGGATGTGCGTTTCCCCATCCTCGCGTGGGCGACTCGTGTCCGAGTGCGTGCGTGCGTCGTCTCCGACCTTCGTGCGTGTCAGTGGCGATTCTAAGGGTGCAGAAAAAAGCTGGGGGAACAATGGGAGGTGGGGCGACCCGAGGGGGTGGGGCACCCCACTGAGAACACATGGCAGGACCCACCTGAAAATGTTTCACGAGGGAATAATAATGATAAAACAATATTATTTTATTATTATTGCAAAACTCCGTGAGTGCGATGGGACTGTAGGAGCAGAACCACGAGGTCACAAGGTGTGGACTGCACAACTACAGTGGACACTAGGAAGGAAGTGATGACTCGGTGTATAGTGGTATCAACGGCATTGGTAGACCCTGGTCACTGCTTTAGTTTGAGCGTGAGTCTCCCGTCCCGGCCATCTCTCCAATGAGGATGTTCTGGAAGCAGTTGCTGATTCATAGCGGAGTTTGCCAGCCATGGCAGGGAGCACGCTTTAGAGAGTACGTCCACCACAGAGATGGAGCAATGAAGTGACTTGGTGTGCAGGACCTGGATGGAATGTTGCATCGCGAGAGAACGTGAGAGATGGCGACACATTTGGTGGTGGGGCTGGGGGGGGGTCCTTTATCCAGCAGAAGAATGCCCGTGGCTATTGACGACGATGATAGCAGCGTCTAAATGCACCGGTACACCATAGGCCCCACGAGGAGGCAGAGAGGCACTCTTGTTCATTAGAGGGGGGGCATGGGGGGGGGACACAGAGGACCCCCAGACCTACCTATAGAATCGCCGCCACTGGTCAGTTTGTGTCTGTGTGTGTGTCCGGTGTCTCTGTGGGAGCTGTCCTTTCAGCACCCCCTGCTGTCTCTGTGTCTGTGTGTGTGTCCGGTGTCTCTGTGGGAGCTGTCCTTTCAGCACCCCCTGCTGTCTTTGTGTCTGTGTGTGTGTCCGGTGTCTCTGTGGGAGCTGTCCTTTCAGCACCCCCTGCTGTCTCTGCAAGGAGCCTTCCCAACCATGTCCTGCACTCCCACTATCTCTCACTCTGTATCTCTCGCTGTCTCTCACGCTCGTCTCCGTTTCAATCAGGACTCTGGACGGTTTTTTTTCTCTCTCTCGGTGATGTTAAATTGATCTGTTTGTTAAAGCACCCTTAATCTCGGGCCGCTGCGCTTGCACGCACGTGCAGCTTGCACAGAGTCCGCGGTACAATTCCCCAACCGCAGCCTTCTGGTGATTACTGCGGAGGAGTTACCACAGCCCACCACCGTCTGCTCTAAAGTGGGGGCTTAAAGACCCTGTGGAATAACATGACGAATCATTCGTAAGACTGCGGCTTTGGTCCAACTCCCGGAATGGAACTGACTTGTTGCTAAATTCTGAGAATGTATTCACAGTTATTTATGCATGTGAAACCTCGCGTGGATCTCAGCAGGTTTTTTTCAACCGGTTAGATAAACGGTGCCTATCGACAGACCATGAATCGAATATGGCCTTCCTCTGGTTAAATAAAGGATTATCAATCATAATGACAATTAATGTTAACGAGGTCTTACGTGATTAAATAAAGGACGCCACTCACAGGCCAATGAATTTCCATGAGCGCTCGCGTTGTTAAACATAGTATGTTAATCGAGAGTTCGCATATGTCAATGGGCTCACACCTGATTAAGTAAGTGATGCTAACGAACAGGTTGATGAATCCCACTGAACCTCTTACCTGGTCGAATCAAGTGCGTCGATAGGAAGAAGCAATGAATCGCGACGGGTTCTCACGCGGCTAAATAAGGCATGCCAATCAATACACAGTAAATCTCAAAGGGCTCTCTGCTGGCTAAATTAGAGAACGATGATGCTGGAATGATCTGCGCCAGGGCCTAACCTCGGCGCGTTCGCCCGCAGCCTCGTCTGCCAAGCGTCAGAGATGCCTTCCCATTGTTCACACAGATACAATAGCAATAAAATACTGGGTTTGAAACATACTCTTTGGTTTTATTCGGTAAAGTCACGTAGACAAAATGAAACAAAATAAAAGAAAACAATTACATCACGACGTTTCGGAGGCAACACAAGCTTCCGTCTTCAGGTGGAATAGTCAACGCAGAATATCTGTGTCAGGAGCACAGTTCAGAGACGACCGGGATTATATACAGGTTAAGGAGGGGGGGGGGAGGAGTCAGTAAGGGGGGTGGGTGGGTGGGAGGGCTGGGTTAAGCAGCCTTTTGATAGACTGCTGCGGGCAACAACTGGGTTTGAAGTTCACCCTTTTTGTTTGAATAATCTTTCACGCTATTTGATTAGATGCTGTTTGGAAAAATCAATCGGATGTTTAAATAAAAATGCATGTATATATATACCTAAATGTAGCCCACTTGCAAACAGAATACAAATTTCAATGGGGTGGAGGGAGTGGCATAGTGGTTGGTACCTCACTGCACTACTAACCCAGTAGTAGTGAGTTTTATTCGTGGCTGTGGCTAAGATCAGTGAAGAGTGATATCTAAACCGGTTATGGACACCCCCCACCCCCCTTCACCAAGCAGCACTATCACGGTGATGTATGGTCAACCTCCATTACCGACACATACACAACATTCGGAACCAATCGGCAGTGACTTGACAAAGAGTTGGATATGTATTATTATTACTGTCAAGTGCATTTTGGGTGGCAGCTTTAAGCCCTCCATGCAGTGGGATGCCATGCTATTGTAGACCGTTACAGTCGGGCACAATTGGGACGTTGCTGTGAAATCGGCCGGTAAGTCACAGCTCACAGTGCCGGTAGTGCCCCTTAAAGGAGCAAATAAATCCACTTTGGAAAATCGTAAGGTACTTAAATTAAAAAGAGTATTATAAAGAAACATCTTTTTCAATTACGTTATTTCTCCTACTTCTCAATAACAGAGGCCCAGCAATACAATAGACTCACGCTGTGTCGTGTTTATGGGAATCTACATTGTGTGTGTCACATGCGTGTCACATGCGTGTGAGGGTTTCTCACGTTTGCCGTCTCACCTCTGACACAGTCTGATCATCGCCCCCCCCCCCCCCCCTCCACCATACTTGCATGTCTCACCGCGATCACGTGCACGCATCTGGGGTTTCCTCAGTCCTCAGTTCTAACTGCAGCTGCATGTGTACACTGCCGTCTGTGTGTGTCCGTGTGTGTTCCTCTGTGTGTGTTTGAGAATGTGTGCCTGTTCGCTTGTGTGTCTGTATGGCTGTGTCTCCACGTGTGTCCTTGTGCATGTATGCGTGTGCCAACATTCCTGTGTGTGTATCTGTGTGGGCTTGTGTCTGTATGTGTGTGCCTGTGTCTGCGTCTATGTCTGCTTGTGTCTGCATCTGTGTGCCTGTGTCCATATGTGCGTGCCTTTATCTGTGCCCGTATCTGTACCCGTGTAAATTTACGTCTGTACGTGTGTGCCCACATCTCGGTGTCTGTGTTTGCGCGTGTGCGATCCTATGTATGCGTGCGTGCGCCTTTGTACGTGTGCCTGTGTCTGTATGTGTGTGCCCGTGCTTGTGTGCGCGCGTGTTCCTGTGCCCGCACGCGTGTCCCCCCTGCGTCCGTACGTATCCGTGCCCGTGTGCGTGTGTGGCCACCCGCCCGCCCGCCCGCCCGCCCGTGCCTCTGCTCGCGCGCCCCCCGGCGCACCGGCGGTTCCAGCGGAGGTGCAGAGCGAGATCGAGCGAATCTTCGAGTTGGCGCGGACACTGCAGCTCGTGGTGCTCGATGCCGACACCATCAACCACCCGACGCAGCTCGGCAAAACCTCGCTCGCCCCCATCATCGTCTACGTGAAGGTTGCCTCGCCCAAGGTGAGCTCGGAAGTTCGTCCATCATGCCGGCACCGCATGGGGGATCGCCACCAGGACCCCGAGTAAAGAAAATGCTCGTAAAGTCCTGGAAGGCTGCGATCTTAATAAGATTCCCGATGCGCACTAAGTAGAACAATTCTGAGGCAATTTGGGTGCAATGAACGTGGCAGTGGTTGCCAGGTATGACGCAGCCACGCCCACTGCTTCTGCCAATCAGCTGACGACTCCGTGCAAAATGGCTGCCGTGAGGTCACACCTGCAACATGGCGCCGTGATGCCTATTGTTCCTTGTGCTTCAGCCGGCCTGTGGCTGAGGTAAATGTTTATGTTCGTATTCGATATTGCTTTTATTAATGGCATTATTGTTTATTCTATGGGTCTTTCGGTAACGCCACGTAGATAGAGAAATAATAAAAATATCACGACGTTTCGATCGCAACACAAGCAATCGTCTTCTCACCTTATTTTTCCGTCTACGTGGCTTTACCGAAAGACCCATACAGTGAGGGAAAAAAGTATTTGATCCCCTCCTGATTTTGTACGTTTGCCCACTGACAAAGATATGATCAGTCTATAATTTTAATGGCAGTTTTATTTGAATAATGAGAAACAGAATAACAACAACAAAATCCAGAAAAAAGCATGTCAAAAATGTTATAAATTGATTTGCATTTTAATGAGGGAAATAAGTATTTGACCCCCTCTAAATCAGAAAGATTTCTGACTTCCAGGTGTCTTTTCTACAGGTAACTAGCTGAGATTAGGAGCACACTCTTAAAGGGAGTGCTCCTAATCTCAGCGTGTTACCTGTATAAAAGACACCTGTCCACAGAAGCAATCAATCAGATTCCAAACTCTCCACCATGGCCAAGACCAAAGCGCTCTACAAGGATGTCAGGGACAAGATTGTAAACCTACACAATGCTGGAATGTTTTGGTAAAGTCACGTAGAAGGGAAACAATAACATAATACAAATATAAAACAATAAAATTCTCATGACGTTTCGACTGCAACACAAGCAATCATCATCAGGTGTGAAAACCACAACAATACATTTTTCAAATTTTCTTGTTGTGGTTTTCACACCTGATGATGATTGCTTGTGTTGCAGTCGAAACGTGATAATGTTATTGTTTTATATTTGTATTATTTTATTGTTTCCCTTCTACGTGACTTTACCAAAAGAACCAATAATATGAATCCCTGCAGTCACGAAAGCTTTAAATTAAAAAATGCTGGAATGGGCTACAAGACCATTGCCAAGCAGCTTGTTGAGAAGGTGACAACAGTTGGTGAGATTATTCGCAAATAGAAGAAACACAAAAGAACTGTCAATCTCCCTCGGCCTGGGGCTCCATGCAATATCTCACCTCGTGGAGTTGCAATGATCATGAGAACGGTGAGGAATCAGCCCAGAACTACACGGGAGGATCTTGTCAATGATCTCAAGGCAGCTGGGACCATAGTCACCAAGAAAACAATTGGTAACACACCACGCCGTGAAGGACTGAAATCCTCTAGCGCCCGCAAGGTCCCCCTGCTCAAGAAAGCACATATACATGCCCGTTTGAAGTTTGCCAATGAACATCTGAATGATTCAGAGGACAACTGGGTGAAAGTGTTGTGGTCAGATGTGACCAAAATGGAGCTCTTTGGCATCAACTCAACTCGCCGTGTTTGGAGGAGAAGGAATGCTGCCTATGACCCCAAGAACACCACCCCCACCGTCAAACATGGAGGTGGAAACATTATGCTTTGGGTGTGTTATTCTGCTAAGGAGACAGGACAACTTCACCGCATCAACGGGACGATGGACGGGGCCATGTACCGTCAAATCTTGGGTGAGAACCTCCTTCCCTCAGCCAGGGCATTGAAAATGGGTCGTGGATGGGTATTCCAGCATAATGAACCAAAACACGGCCAAGGCAACAAAGGAGTGGCTCAAGAAGAAGCACATTAAGGTCCTGGAGTGGCCTAGCCAGTCTCCAGACCTTAATCCCATATAAAATCTGCGGAGGAAGCTGAAGGTTCGAGTTGCCAAACGTCAGCCTCGAAACCTTAATGACTTGGAGAAGATCTGCAAAGAGGAGTGGGACGAAATCCCTCCTGAGATATGTGCAAACCTGGTGGCCAACTACAAGAAACGTCTGACCTCTGTGATTGCCAACAAGGGGTTTACCACCAAGTACAAAGTCATGTTTTGCAGAGGGGTCATATACTTATTTCCCTCATTAAAATGCAAATCAATTCATAACATTTTTGACATGCGTTTTTCTGGATTTTTGTGTTGTTATTCTATCTATCACTGTTCAAATAAACCTACCATTAAAATTATAGACTGATCATTTCTTTGTCAGTGGGCAAACGTACAAAATCAGCAGGGGATCAAATACTTTTTTCCCTCACTGTACAATATGTATTCCTGCAGTCACGAAAGCTTTATTTTTTTTCTGAGCGGTTGCTTTAGTTTTACTTTGACGAATCGACATGAGTAACTAAGTGGTACAAACCACCCATACTTTCTCTCCTAACCTTACGATGCTTTATTGTCTTGACTCCAGTATGGAATCCAGGTTACTACAAGTCTTGACTTACGCCATTTCTGTACTCAGGCCCACAGGGCTTAATGTCAGCCGGGTCTCTCCGGGTCAGTGACCCAGAAAATATGTTTGCACCACACCACATCTAGTATACCTCTCGGTATGCCTGTGGCTACCACTGGTCACGTGCCACCTACTCCAGTCCACCAGCGACTCGGAAAATATACAGCGAGAAATGAATCCCAGGTCATAACCTCTAGTGTCAGATGGGACACACAGCCAGGGGAATCGCACATGGTGGACGTGCACAGAGAGACACCGCGAGTGTGCACGTGTCTGTAGGGTAGGCCCGGACTGGCCATAGGGCAGCGGCCCCCGGGTAAATGCCCGGTGGGCCGGTCCATTCCGAGGGCCGGTGGGGCGGTCTGTGTGGGAGAATTTTTTTATAGAAATGTTTTTATTACCTCTAATGTGTTCGCTGGATTGCTTATTTACGCTCTCAGTTGGCATTAAGTCCCATATTCAGCAGCCCCAAAGATTCTTCATCACTGGCCCATTTGTTTTTTGGACCAGCCTGAATGGACCAATCAGATCGCACGGAAATTTTGGGCCACTGTGTTTACAAATGCCTGGGCCGATTTTCAGTCCCAGTCCGTCACTGTTGTGAGAAAGAGAGGAGAGAGAATGCGTGTGTGTGTGTGTTCATAAAGTAGTGGGGAGCGGTCTTATGGTGGTTTACATACTGCGCTACGAACCCGACAAGCTGCGTTTGACTCCCGGCCACGGTTGACATCAGCGGTGGGTGATGATCCGAACCGCTCGTGGGCCTCCCCTAGGTCGACTCAGCCTTAAATGCGTACCTGGTGTGGTGTGTGAACATCGGCACTGGAGAGACAAAGGGGGCCGTACGTGGTTCTGGCCGTGCCGGCCTCGGCAGGTGGTGCTCTATAACAGCACTTGCCCCAACAGCCTATTAAAGGCTATACGGGGGTACATTTTGTTTTGTGTGTGTGACCCCAGGTGCTGCAACGGCTCATCAAGTCTCGCGGGAAGTCTCAGAGCAAACACCTCAACGTGCAGATGGTGGCAGCCGACAAGCTCCTGCAGTGTCCTCCTGTACGGACACCTCTGCTCACCCACGGACTTCTTTGTCACGGCCATTATGAGCCCCCCCTGCCCATCCCCCCCTGCCCCTCCCCCCCTGCCCCTCCCCCTGCCCCTCCCCCTCGAGCCACCCAGCTCAGTTGCAGCACTTGAATGTCGTTTAAAACTAACCTATTTAAACGAAACTTTTTATTTTATGTTACCAGGTAAGACCCACTGAGTTTTCACGCTCTTTTTCAGACGCGAGCTGGCTATCACAAATTATAGCTCAATGAAGTGGCTTATCGAGTGGAATTGTATAGCAACCAAACACTCTAAATGCACGTTGTTTCGAATTCGGTAAAAATAAATAAAACCCTCAACACTTCAAGAGCCGCAATGCGATGTGAAATCACGTGACGAAGCAGTGCTGAAAGGGCAAGCCCTGTGGCTCCGGAGCCGCAGGGCTTGCCGACCCCTCGTCGAGGCCATTGGCGCACCAAGTTGCCATAGTCGGTCACGGTAAATGTGTCGCCGATGGCAGCGAATCGAGTTCGTCTCGCATTCGCTGAGCCCTCTATTCGCAGCTGTCCCTGTGTGGCATGTGGTGACTCGGCACCTGCGCATTAGTCTGTCATAAGGGGCATGCGATGGTCGCTGTGTGAATCATTTGTAGTTACCTTTTTTGTTCTTGAACATTTGCACCGATATTGACACGTTTTAGTTATGGAGGCGAGGGGGGTGGGAAACACGTAGAACAGGGGGACAGCATACAGTCGAGACTCCACGCGGAAAGGCGCCCTGAGTCGGGAATAGAACTCAGGCCCTCGTGGCTGTGAGGCGCGAGTGTTAACACCACGTTGGCACCCAGTGACGGCCGCCGGTGACGGTTTCCGTGAAAGCGCCGTCGTGTAACGGCGGCCTTCGCTCCCCGCTCCCCGCTCCCCGCTCACCGCCCGCAGGAGCTGTTCGACGTGATCCTGGACGAGAACCAGCTGGAGGACGCGTGCGAGCACCTCTCCGAGTACCTGGAGGCGTACTGGCGCGCCACGCACCCGCCCAGCGCCAACCCGCCAAACCCGCTGCTCGAGAGGACCATCGGCAACACGGCGCTGCCGAACCCGTCGCCCATCTCCAACCTGCAGGTACAGGTGCTCACCTCGCTCAAGCGGAACCTGAGCATGCGCGCCGGAGGAGGCGGCGGCTCGGGGCCCTCGTCGTCCGGCGCCGTCGATCGCAGGGGCTCCACCTGGGCCTACAGGCGGCAGGACGACCGCGAGAGGGCCTGCCTCGCCAATGAGGCCGAGATGGAGCAGCAGGAGCTGCAGGAGGTCGTTTACTGAGAGCGGCCGTCCGTGGCCCCCCCTCACTCTCTCTCTCACCGTCCCCTCGCTGAGCGGTTGGGCCGTTTCTTTTTTTTTCTTGTGCTGCCGCTGACTGCCGTCAACTGCCAAACCAAGCGACTCGTGCGTCCGCGCCTGCCGGAGGGTCTGGAGTTGGGTGGGGAGCGGTGGCCCGGGGGGCAGGGGGTGTGGGTATAGGGCTCGCAGACAGCACACGAGGCACCCCACGGCACCCACCGTCACGTCAAAGCTGACACGCGCCGATCTCCCGTGGGGCGGTCACGGGGAGTTCGCGAGCCGCTGCTTGTGAGATGAGGGGGCGGAGCGGTGGTTCCTCCGGCATCCTGCTGCCACAATCACAGCCTGCTGCTGCTGCTGCTGAGGCTGTTAATGATGACGATAATTCATGATTTGTTTTACAAATTGGGCATCATGATTATGATGATGATCGTGACGCTGCTGCTGATGCCACCGCGGTGTCAATGCAGCGCCGTGCGCGACATTGACACCGCGGTGACGGCGAGTCCCTCGGCCACCGGCGGTGGCGACTTTTGTTTCGGCGCGAGCCCGCCCGTATTCTCCTCCCCGTGGCCGCCTCACTCGAGCGACCGGCTGCTGCACGTGTGACCATAACACCCCCACCCCCCCCCCCCCCCGCCGAGCCAGATCAACCAAACACCGACGCACAAAGCACGGTCACCGACGTGTAACCCGCAGTGTTCGCTAACAGCCTCCGTTGGCCACCTTCCCACAATTCTCTTCTCAGAGTTTTATTGTTGTCGTCGTCTTGCCACGTTCTAGATCCTGAAACAGGCCCAGCCATGACGTGCCCTGTGACGTCAGCATTTAGACACGAGACCCTGGATGTCCCCGGTCTACTCCGTAACCCAGTGCCATCTAGACACGAGACCCTGGATGTCCCCGGTCTACTCCGTAACCCAGTGCCATCTAGACACGAGACCCTGGATGTCCCCGGTCTACTCCGTAACCCAGTGCCATCTAGACACGAGACCCTGGATGTCTCCGGTCTACTCCGTAACCCAGTGCCATCTAGACACGAGACCCTGGATGTCCCCGGTCTACTCCGTAACCCAGTGCCATCTAGACACGAGACCCTGGATGTCCCCGGTCTACTCTGTAACCCAGTGCCATCTAGACACGAGACCCTGGATGTCCCCGGTCTACTCCGTAACCCAGTGCCATCTAGACACGAGACCCTGGATGTCCCCGGTCTACTCCGTAACCCAGTGCCATCTAGACACGAGACCCTGGATGTCCCCGGTCTACTCCGTAACCCAGTGCCATCTAGACACGAGACCCTGGATGTCCCCGGTCTACTCCGTAACCCAGTGCCATCTAGACACGAGACCCTGGATGTCCCCGGTCTACTCCGTAACCCAGTGCCATCTAGACACGAGACCCTGGATGTCCCCGGTCTACTCCGTAACCCAGTGCCATCTAGACACGAGACCCTGGATGTCCCCGGTCTACTCCCTAACCCAGTGCCATCTAGACACGAGACCCTGGATGTCCCCGGTCTACTCCGTAACCCAGTGCCATCTAGACACGAGACCCTGGATGTCCCCGGTCTACTCCGTAACCCAGTGCCATCTAGACACGAGACCCTGGATGTCCCCGGTCTACTCCGTAACCCAGTGCCATGTACGGCGCGACAAACAAAACAAAAAAATTGCCGCAATTATGCAAATAGTGTGGCCAAATTATTGCCTCATGTTTTTGCGCTAAGTTTAATGCCAGTCTGGATATAAACTATGGCCGAGACGAATCCTCAAAACGTAAAATTGCAGCCCGGCCTGGGTCTCGGAGAGGTTTGCTTTGCTCTGGCTCTGCGGACCCGCTGTGGCCTGTGGAAATAACCCCGTGGCGGTCCACTACAAAAAAACTTTGTGGCAGTGAGGCAAGTGTGAGCAGGCTCGCAAGGAGGTGAGGGAAGTGTTGTGTGAGTGAAGCGATTAAGGTGTTGTGACCCACGTGCAGGTCGACTTACCCTCAATTGAGTACCTGGTGCGGTCTGTAGTCAACATCGCCACTTGGGAGACAAAGGCGGCTGGGCGTGGTGTTGGCCACCCACCCCCTTGTGTGCTGTGCCTGCCTTCATAGGTATTACTCACAAACAGCACTTGCCCTTATAGTCTGTTAAAGGCTATCGGGGGGTCTTTGAGTGAGGTAGTGTAGTGGCTAGTGCATCGCACTACAAACCTAGCGACCCAAGTTCGATTCCCTCTCACAGCCAATAGTGAGGTATATATCTGAAATAGTCCAGGGCCTCCTTCTCTAGGTTGCAGTATATAAACTTTACCACGAGGGAGACAAAGGCAGCCGGACATGGTGTTGGCCACCCATCCCTTGGTGTGTTGTGCCGGCCTTCATAGGTGTTTGCTTACAGCACTTGCCCCAACAGTCTGTTCAGGCTAAATCTATTTTGTTTTATAGTTATATGCTAAGTTTCCTGATATTTCGTCGCAGAAATCCGATGAGCTATGAAGCTCTTTTTCACTGATGCCTATTGCCCGGGCCCCCTCCGCGGAGACGAATGCGTTCTCACGACAGCATTGAGAAGCGTTCTACATTGGGATTTCTCAAGTCTCTTACGGCAGCTGCATTTACAGGTGTCACGCATCGGCGTGTTAGTGAATGACGTTGTTCACGCTTCAGCCGTTTCCCACAATAAATGCACTGGCGAAGTGAAGAACATGAAATTCCATTTTTATTCTGTCACCGAAAGGGTTCACCTATTTCCTAGACACATGCTTTCTTTTGATTTAAAGCTTTCGTGACTACAGGGATTCATATTCTTGGTTCTTTCAGCAAAGTCACGTGACTTTACCCAAAGAACCAAGACTATACTGTACATGCTTTGTTGTTGGCGACAGAAAAAAATTATATATATTTTTTAACTTTTAATGTAACCCTACGCATTTTCATAGCAGCACAACGAAAAAAAGACAAAGATCCCCAGTATAGCCTGTAACAGACTTTTGGGGCAAGTGCTGTAACTGGGCACCAATTCTGTGCGTGTGAAGTGCCAAGTGCCGCAGCGTGGCTTCTGATTGGCGGTGTAAGCGACGTCACCTGAGAGCCGGGGACGTGGCCTCGATCTCTATGCTCGCGCTCACGAAGAGACAAATGTCATACCTGAGAATTCCTCACAGCACCCCCGAGTGAATTATGACTCTTAGTGTTTTAAGCGGGCATTCATTGTCGAATCATTTGTGGTTCTTTTACTGCAATCTGAGCCCTAACCCCCCAACCCTTCGCTATCACAAAAGCCAAAGATCTCACCCTGTCTGAACCTTAGTCTTACTGCTCACCATAACTGAACGATAACCGAAAAGAGGAATTGGTTTCATGTAAGTGACCACCACCGTGTCAGGTTTATAGCCTAATCGTAGTTGGTTAGGGTTTAGGGATAGAATTGTGATTCGAGTTGGGGATTCATTACAGAGTTGTGTTGAGGGTTAGTGGTTAGCATTAGCGAAGTGGTTTGGGCTGTCTTTAGGGTGGTGTTGATTGACATGGTTGTGAATTATCAACCGGGTTAGCATTAGTTGCAGAGTTGTGGCTAGGGATAGGATTAGGCATCTGGTTGTGGAAATTATTTTAGTTAGTGAATGCTTTTACACGTGACTTTCATACAGAGCATCGGATACGCACGATAGATAAATAATGACATACAAATATACGTCAATAGTTATGGAAAGGATTAGGTTTGTGGTTGTAGTTAGGGTACGGACTAATGGTAGCGTTGTCATTATGCTTGGTGCTATGGTTATCGTTAGTCTTAGGATTCTGGCTGGCCATAAAAGAAAAAAAAATACTGAATACGTTACAATACAACACTCTGATTAAACACTATAGTTCAGCGACCATCAAAACAACCCAACTTATCTTAAGATTCCCCGGCGTTGTGGTGCCGTGTTCTCAGGTCTACTATCACCTTTGTCCCGTGGGCCACCTAACATTGCGTGCACTCGTGTGTTTTAACCAACTGCATTTGTCATTAACTCCGACTGCGTTTGCCTCGTCAAAAAAATACGCAACAGGTTAATGATGTGGGTAGTGGCGCAGCTTCAGAGTAGAGACTAAACTATTTTAAACGATTTTTATTTTGACCAGGTAATGCCCATTGGGCTGTATAGCTCTTTTTGTTTAACCGATCTGGCCACAAATGTTAGCTCAACGAAGTGGCTTATCACGTGGAAATGTATAGCAGCAGCCAAATAATTTAAAAGCATGTTTCAAAATGTGGAGGGAAAAAAAACGGAGGATACGGAGAAAAATCCACGTGACCACGGCGACAAAACATGCAAACTCCAAATAACAACCGGCGTCAGGGTCGGGATTGAACCCACGACCTCCTACATACCAGGTGAGGTAGTTAACATTTTGCCACCGCAGCAAGACACCTTTGGCCAATTCATGCCAGATGCACCCAATATCTGAAGCCAAGTGGGCTTGAGCCTAGTTAAGTGCTGGGGTGCGTGGCTGCCACCAGGGCTTGCCAGGTGTTGTAGGCATGGGGCTGCGAGGGTTGGACAGGAGATACGAGTGCTGAGTGGTGTCTCCCTCCGTGCACGCGGTGTGGTTGGGCGCTTGCGGTATACTCCTGCGTAAAGCCACACTCGCGCAATTGGCCTAGCATCCTGATCCAGTGCTCTCCTGAGGCAAGAGAGTCCTGAGGCCTCACCAACTAAATAATTGGCATTGCCTTTCACGTAAATACAGCAGAGAGAACTATAAGCCAGTCAACTCTGTCTAGTCTGTCTCTTATCCTGAAGATGGACCACTGCCCGAAACGTCAGCATGTTACATACTTCTCGGTTGTGATGCGGTTCCTAACGACGTTTGCGGCGGGTGTTGTGTTTTAACGGCAAGCGTGAGAGCGCCTCCAATTGCTCCGTACTAACCGCGTGTGCGTGTGCGTGCGTTGCACTGTGCGTGTGTGTGTGCGCGCACGCTGTGTCTCACACTCCGCTTCCCCCCTGCTCAATCTCACACGCCCGCTCACTCACGTACACCTCTGTGTGCGTGTGTGTAAGTGTCCGTTCGTGTGATTTTGTCTACGTAATTTGTCTTCGTCGTTTTGCTTTGGCTGCTTCTTGATCGTTCCCCCCCCCCCCGCTTTGGTGTGTGGGTTTCGTGCGTGCTGTGACGTGGTCTTGTTGCTGTGCATGGCTGCCTTCCCTTCCATCCCACGCACGCACACACATATGCATGCTAAAACGCACACACGCGCGCACGACTGAACACACGGATTCGCACATGTAACACGCGCACATACACTTGCACGCACGCAAACACACGTATGTACACACGTACGAACATATACCCACGCACACGTACATCGCACGTATCACACACGCGTGTACAACGTATATACACGCACGTGTAAAACAAAAAAATGCACACACGTACAAACACACACCAACGCAACGCGCGTACACAACACCAGGGAGGGAGCACCACTCACCTCCAACACCACAGCGACCTAGGAACCCCCCCGCCCGGCATGGACCCATCCCGCCGCTCATACAACAACCAACAGCAGCAGCATCAACAGCAGCAGCAACAGCAGCAGCAGCAACAGCAGCAACAGCAGCACCTGCAGCAGCAGCAACAGAGGCACTCCCCGACGACGCCGTCGTCATCCTCGTCGCGCCAGCCGCTCGTCCGCCGGTGGAGCGGCGGTCGCTCGGGAGGACTCGCCCGGCAAGACACCTTCGACTCGGAGACGCAGGAGAGCCGAGACTCGGCCTACACGGAGGAGCAGGCGGATGACGAATACCCCGAGCAGCAGCAGCAGCAGCAGCAGCGACGGAGGAGCAGGGAACGTGGTTACCCCGGTGACGCGTCTCCGCCGCAGGATGGCTGCGCTTCACCCGGCACGGTGGGCAACGATATCCGGATGCACCAACACCACCACCAGCAGCAGCACCACGAGCAGGATCAGGGCGGAGGCCCCGGAGCGCGAGGATCCTGGGAGCGGGAGCGTGCGCGAGAACTGGATCACAACGAGCGCAACCGCCAGAGGAGCGGCGGTGCGGGAGGGACGGGAGGCGGCGGCGGCGGCGGCGGTAGCGGCGTTGCCGGCGGCGGTTCGGGGCAGCAGGCGCGACTCCACCGCTCGCGGGAATCCAGCTACTACGAGACGGACGGAGCGGACATCATGGTGAAGGGCGGGCGTGGGGACTCGGCCGAGGCCGCGTGGTCGCAGCAGCTGTACGTGCGGCCCTGACGCGGCGGAGATACCTAGGAGACGGCGGTGCTCGGTTTCGGCAGCTATCGGAGGGGATGAGTCGCGGTCGCGGTCGGGGCTGGGGTGGTGGTCGGAGCCGACAGGAGACCACGCGGGTGGACCCCTGCCACCAACCCCGCCAGTCCGGACCCCGGTGCAGCCCCCGTCACCGCTGCCATCCTGACTCCTGTGTGCGCCGCTGAGCGCCAGCGATCCGCGAGTCGCTGGGGTGGGGGGGGGAGGAGGAGACGACGAGGCCAGTGTGTCGCGATGGAGCGCAGCGTTTGACCGTGAAGCTTGGCGATGCCACGGAGCCCGAGAGGAAGTTACTTCTGGCCACGTGAAATCGGATTTTGTATTGAGCTTAGCGCGTGGAATCCCATCTCGTTTTCTTACATGCAGGCCTCAATGAATGTGTTTTTTTGGTGGTGGTGGTGGTGGTGGTGGTGATGGTGGTGGTGGCGGTGGCGTCTACTTCGAAGTCATTCGCATCCAGCCATCTCCTCCCACTCAGCTCCTCCATCGCTATCTATCCCCTACAGCAGGGCTTCACAAACCACGGTGCCAACGCCTCCGCCCGCCCCCGCCGCCCGCCCCCATCGCTTTGCGTTTACCAATCGAATCCAGTCGCAATGGCACACGGTCGCACAAGCGCACAATGATTGGTGGACGCTCTCGGCGATGGGGAAGAATGAGAGTCGGAGTGTGGCTGGAGTTTGGGGAACAGCTGCTCTGTGACGGCACAGCCGTCGCCTTCGCACGCACGCTCCCTCTCAACTTCAGCCACCTTAACGCAGGGGGCCACCCCGCACTCCAGGCCTCTCACCCCCCACAGCACTCCTCATTCGCACGTCCGCCGGTCCTCTTTGTGCTCAACGGAAGTGGAAGTCCGTTGGAAGCCTCGCGCACCCGGTGATTGAATGCCAAGCTATAAATCTAAACTTTTTTTTATTTTACCAGGTAAGGCCCCACTGAGCTCCATAGCTCTTTTTCAGAAGCGACCTGGCCACAAATGATAACTAACGAAAGTGACTTATCGCGTGGAAATTTATAGCAGCCAAATACTCTAAACGCATTTTGAGCCTCTTGGAGATCATTCTCTGGCCAAGTTTTGTTCTCATTATTTATAGTTTTGTGTTTGTGCGTGTTTATATACCGTATAAACTTGCACAGTGTTTAAATAAATGTTTCATTCTGTCCTCCAGCCAAGACATTTTTTTGGAATAATTTTTCATTCACGTGACATTAATGTTGCGACATGAAATGGGTTTCAAACAGCGTGCAACATGGAATTGCGCGGAAGGCAGGCCTTGTCCGCGTCGTGCATCAAAGTACAGAGTTACACAAAGAGGCCAGCTATTGTGCATGAACACCCATTTTTTTTATGCGTAGATTGCAAGCGGTTTGCCGCAGCAGCCAACTCCTTAGGCACAGAGGCCACCTTCGTTAAGCGCCGAGCTATTCATGAACAATTCCCGGCTCCAAGCCCAACTCGCAGCACTACAGCAACGGGCCGTCTCAAATAATCGCACCTCCGATCGGCACGGCTGGCTACGTACGGTGCGAAAGAAGTTCAGCACACATCGCGGCGCTACCACCGTCATTTCTCAGGAGAGCCTGAAAACATCCTTCAGTTCGCCCCCAGTGTGAACTGAACACGCACCTACGTGCTGCCATGCACACACCTCCACGCGGCCACGATGTTTTCCCTCGGAGTTTGTGAATCCGGGAATACCCCAACCCTGACCGGGGCCAGGGAGGCCTGCGGCTGGGTTTGGGTCTGGTTCAGGGTCAGGGTTTTTGGGTCAGGGTCTCGGGGTGGGTGGGGGGGGGTGTGGGAAAGGGGCTTCCTGTCGCGTGAATCTCGCTCGGGCGGAGAGCGAACGGTGGGCACCTGTGAAACGCGTTTTGGTCTTGCCCGCACCTCGACCGCACCTCGTTTTGAAGGGGGTGAAGTCTTCGCCTGCCCCGTGTGTCGTGCTGGCTGGCGCGGGCTGGCGCGGTTGGGACGCCTGGGTCAGAGAGACACGTTATTTTGTTTGAAGCCAATACGGTTTTATTTATGCATGAAAACATCCGTCTTCGTCTGTAGCACCAAGTGGATACAGGATTTAAAAGGACAGTAGAGCCCACTCGAAGCGGGATGTCATTTGGAAGTAACAAGTGACATTTTAACTTTTACATGACAATTATAAATACGACATATATATTGATTATTTAAAAAATGATGGTAATAATTTAAAGAAAACAATCACTCATTTTAAAATGGGGGGGGGAGAGGGTGAGGGTGATACATGAAGTAAAGAGTGATGTGTTTGCACTCTCCACATATCAGACACGAGTCGCGCGTTGAGACTTGTCAATCGGACGATGATGGAAGGAGTGGCTGGTTTTAGAGGAGTTCTTCGATATTTTAACAACAGTACTCTACTGTATATTTAAAGCATGGTTACCTCTTTTTGCAGATTATCACATGCTTTTTTTTCTGTCTTGCACAATGCGAACGCCGTCTCAATGCCCCCCCCCTCCCCACGTATGGCTAACGAAGGGCCGCGTTCATTAAGGCAGGTTCACACTTAGCTCTTTGGCTCGCCGGTGAACACTTTTGATTCCCATTACCAAGCCGTTGGGTAATATATTTTTTTACATCGACCATTGCCCGTGGTATGAGTGGCATTACCAATACGTGTCCCCGTTGTCATCCGTAGCGTGTGCCGCCTGCTGTGTGGTGCACGTTAAATGGACATCTGTGAAAAAAGAGATTTTATAGCTCATCAGATTCCTCCAGTTATAAATATTCTGATTCTATAACGCGTAGTTATCGTTTTGCAGTTGGAGGAGTAGATTTGTGCACCTGCGTCACCGGTGCCATCTGTGGCAGCGTTGTCACCTGTGGCACCGGTGTTACCTGTGTCACCTGTGACACCTGTGTCATCGGTGTCACCTGTAACACAGGTAGTACCTATGTCACAGATAACACCTGTGCCACAGGTAACACCTGTGGCACCTGTCACTTGTGTCACCTGTGTCACCTGTGACACCTGTGACACAGGTGACACCATTGTCACCGTTGTCACCTGTGTCACCTGTGTCAGTCGCAGATTCTACGTTTTGGCTGCGGTCTGCCCACAGCACTAATCCCAAAGCGGAAACGCTGACAATTACACGATGCAGTTACGTACACGGTACAGCTGCGGTAGATCCAGGTGGTTCGGATCTGCCTTGCAAAATTAACACGGGGAATGCATGCCACTTTCGCGTGCAAAGGAACCAGGTAAAATGCAGTAGAGCAACGGTGGTGTTAGCCCCTCCTTAAATCACTTTTTGTTCCTGTTTCTTCCACCGTACATTTTTTTAATGAAAGGAATTGGCCAAACACACTAAGGAGGTAACCTCCTGATTAAGACTTTTGGCATTCAGTGAGGCTTTCCTGGGTAAACACACTACATTTGTTATCATCACCATCTCATTAATTGAAAACAAATTGAAGGCACGGCTTGGTATTCAGCAAGAATGAAGTGATGCCCTCATAGTTTCTCGTATAATCTCAATTGGGTTTGCGCCGAATCCGACGCTGCAAACCGTGACTTTGAATCTCGCGGTGCGGTCCAAGGAGGCAGTGCTGTCTGCTCCGGGTTTAATTTCTCTATGCCCAATTTATTTATTTGTGATTTTACTCCGCACTGGGCAGCGGCTAGTTTACGTGCAGCTGAAGAGTGAATGTAAGGAAATGACACACACATACACAATGTTTTTTGTAACACGGCTTCTCTTGCAGCCCTGGCGTGCAAGACTTGGGATTTATGGTAACAGACAGCACTGTGTCCTGTAGCTTAGACACCGCGAGCCTCCACATATCCGGCCTCCGTACATTGGCTGCAACTCGAACCTGCCTTAAGGAGAGCCGTTTGCGTGACCGCGTTCACATTATCATCGGGGTGGATTTCACAGCACGCTAAGATTCCTCCCATCTCACGTGTGTTTATAATGCCCCATGCATTACTATGATTATTATTATCATGATGATTATTACTACGTGATGAATCCATATCATTGAGCAGATTGTTTCAGATTTGACGGTGAATTTTATTCTTTTATTTAACAAAAAAAGCGTTGAATAAAAATGTTGTGGGGAAAAAATGTAAAAAAAAACAATGGATACATTTGAAAACAAAAAATGTTAAGCATGCCAGCTGCATGGTTGTGGTACAGAGAAAACAAAACAAGAATTAAAAAAATGATTGCATTAATACGCTTCTTGTGTGCATTGTGTGTATATAGACTATAATTGTAATTTTCATCATAAGAAGTTTAAAACGCAAACATCAACATATATACATAATAAAAACGCAAAATCAAATCCAGGACAACAAACATTTGGATCATGAGGGCCTCAGTTAAAAACGGGGCATGAGGTTTATACAGTATCGAATTTCAGTTTAATGAGCACACGGCGAGATGTTAACTACATCGCCTGGTATACAGGAGGTCCTGGGTTCGACCCTAACCCTCAGACCTGCATATATGGAGTTTGTAGTGTCTATCTCCCCGTGGTCGTGCGGATTTTTCTCCGGGTCCTCCGGCTCCCCCCCCCCCCCCCCACAACTTACAATCATGCGTGTATCGAGTTTCTGGCTGCTATATAAATGTCCACACGATAAGCCACCTCGATGAGCTATCATTTGCGACAGTGGGTCATACCTGGTGAAAACAAAAAAAAATAGCGACGGGGTGAGTCGCTCTCACCTGCTGTGTGGTTTACGCCATCACGACGTTCGAAACGTCGTGATCAATTTTTATTTTATTTCTACATACGTGACTATACCGAAAGAACCAATGAGTACTCTTTGGTTCTTTCGGTAAAGTCACGTAGGTATAAAATAAATTAAATCACGACGTTTCGGGCGCAACACAAGCGTCCGTCATCAGGTGGGACAACCACAGCAAGAAACAATTGCTGAAGTGGGCAAAAGGGCTGCTGTAACAAGAGGCTATATAGGTACGAGAGGGTGGGGGAGGAGCCAGGGAGGAGAGATAGAGAGTGGGAGGAGCCAGGGAGGAGAGATAGAGAGGGGGAGGAGCCAGGGAGGAGAGATAGAGAGGAGCCAGGGAGGAGAGATAGAGAGGAGCCAGGGAGGAGAGATAGAGAGGGGGAGGAGCTAGGGAGGAGAGATAGAGAGGAGGAGCCAGGGAGGAGAGATAGAGAGGAACCAGGGAGGAGAGAGAGAGGAGCCAGGGAGGAGAGATAGAGAGGGGGAGGAGCCAGGGAGGAGAGATAGAGAGGGGGGTAGAGGGATTAAAGAGTGAGCACGGCAAATTGCCAGGGGGGGGGGGGGGGGAGATGAGCGGGGCTGGGAGTGGGAGGTTGAAGAGAAACTGGAGATGCGGATATGAAGGCAACGCCATAAAGCAGTTAAGGTTTTACCTGGTTAATAACATCCTTCCAATGTTTGCTCAATTTGTATCCATCTTCTCGGTTGAAGTTATGTCTACGTTTATATATCTGGATGGCTTCGTGAACAAACCTTTGATAGTAGCCCGAAGGGTTTGCAGAGTACCTTGGTCTCGGATAAAACACAATATCATGAGAGCCCACAGCGTTATATAGCAATGGTCAGCCACGGCGGAGGGATTAGTTCTGTCGTGTTTCAGATCTGACTTGTGCTCGTGAACCAATGAGTATAGTAGTTTCCATAGTTCCATTTATTTGGTATAGCCCTGTGACCCATTCGGCTCTTGAATCGGGCGCAACCGCAACAAACAAAAACATGAACAAGAAAACATCTTCAAGTGATTATGTGACTGTGCAAACAGAAAATCCAGGAAAAAACCATCAAAATATTCCTGAAATAGCACCGTACACCAACGCTGTGTGCAAAAATCCCAGTGGGATGCAAGTCAAACAACAACAACCACAAGACAACTAAGATTTAGGCCATCAGTCTAACTCCGTACCACAATAAACAAAAACATGGCCAAACAAAAAAAACGTTTTCGAAATCACCAAAAATAAAAGCCGTAAGTGCAACGTAACAGTGATCATAGGGACTGTGACCGAATTTTAAACAATAAACTACATAAATAAATTATAACACCAAACCCTAGAGCCATATTTCCTGCAGTCACGAAAACTTCAATCCCGGATTAGTTTATAGTTTTGCTTTTTTGCGGGGCGTGTTCCCCGCTCTACGAGGCGCCTTCAGGCATGTGCACACGCACAAAGAGTAAGCGTTTGTCTTCCCAGTGGTTTAAAGGTCGCGGTCTGAGCTTGGCTCTGTTTCACTCCAGCGCAGTCTTCGAGACAGGCTGGTCCCTTCACCTGATGAAGGCCGCTTGTGTTGTGGCCGAAACGTCGTGATTTTTGTTGTTTTATTTTTTTTTACCTACGTGACTTTACCGAATAGAACCAAGGAGTAAGCGAGGTAGCGCCTATCGCGCGTGAATCATCAGCAGGTGAGGAGGAGGAGGTGGAGGAGGTGGACGCTGCATTTCACACAAGAGAGAGAAGCGTTGTGAGCTGACCGACCACCTCACCACCACCTGGCGAGGCAAACGGAGGTGGCTCACACGATGGACGACGTGTGGCATCGCGGAGTTTATCCGCTCGTGTGGTATTTGGAATAGAGAGAAAAAAAAAATAAACACTGCGGTGCCAGAACACGAAAGGACTTTCCGACAGACAACACACGAATGCACAGAGCGCCGTTTCATTTCCCCACATCCCTCATGTTGACAGCATTACACACGATTATAGCACGGTCGTGTTAGGAGATATGTTACTACTATGCACAAAGGCAAAGATTCCCCGTATAGCCTTGACGGACTTTTGAGGACTGCTTATTAGCGAGCACATTTCAAGGCCGGAACGGCACACGAGGGGATGAGGTGGCCAACAGCACCAGGCCCGGCCGCCTTTGTCTCCCCAGTGGCGATGTTCACACATCGCACCATTTGAGGCTTAGCCGACCTAGGGGGTGCCCAGCACCGGTTCAAACATTCGTAACCGATTGTCGAACGTGCAATGAACGTGACTGGTGACGACGATGACGAGGTGCGATCGTGGCGATGGGGAGGGGGCTTCTATGTTTAGGTTTAAGAGAGGAAGTTGTTTATGAAACGTTTCGGGTGCTTTCCCGTGCGATGACGCGGGGGGTTTTTCTCTCTCTTGATAAGAGTCTAAAGTCTTACCCCACGCGACACGCACAGTGAAGGCAACGCACGATGTAGGTATGAGCAACCACCACCCCCAGTAACACTTGGGACGATGACACAATTTTTGGCCCAGCGTGTCCACCCACATGCCAACGTTGGGCATGTTTAACGAAGATGCCAAAGATTGGCTGTAACGAATGTGCTGATGATCCCTAACACGGGCGAAGCCAGTGATAAGTTTCGTGCACGGTAGCAACTGCCCTGATGACTGATGATCCCTGTCAAGCGTGAAACAAGGCCAGCAAAAATTATTGGTTCTTTCGGTAAAGTCACGTATAAGGGAAACAATAAAATTATAAAAAAATAAAACGCCTGACGATGATTGCTTGTGTTGCAGTCGAAACGTCGTGAGAATTTTATTGTTTTATATTTTTTGTTATTTTATTGCTTCCCTTATACGTGGCTTTACCGAAAGAACCAAGAATATGAATCCCTGCAGTCACGAAAGCTTTAAATCAAATTTTAAGGCCAGCAAAGGTACGAAGAGCCGAGCATTCTAAACGGTTCAAATGTCATCTTGCCGGTCTCTATTTTCTGAGTCTCATCAGCAAGGGTGTAGCCAATTAAACGCACGCTGATGATTTGTCTGATGTTACAGGCAAAGGCTTGGCTCCGTTTGTAATCCTTCCCGGCCATTACTGGCAAATTCGTTATAATATCTGGGTGTTTATTTTTTACGAGCATATGCATTTAAAATTTGATTAATAAATAGAATTAAAAAAAAACATGCTTAATACACGTGGGGCACCTTTCTGCACACACATCTTGGCTTTCCGTCACGCGAATCGTCACGTTATAAATTCCCCATTCGTAAAATATTCAAGTTCTACACATCCACGTGATGGGAACCCAACCAATTGCCTCGGGAGGCAGTGGTGGTGGCGGTTAACGCTGCAACGATTAATCGATTCAAATCGATCGCTACGCTCACGGTTACAATAATAAAATCGTGCGTGTGTGTGATATCACACACACACACGCACGCATTGTCAGTTAATCCTCTTCATCCCCCTATGGTACATAAGGCCGCAATGATTTTCCTTTCAGCATGTTTTTCTTGTTCATGGTTTTTTTTGTTTGTTGCGGTTGCACCCGATTCAAGAGCCGAATGGCTCACAGGGCTATACCAACATAAATTAAACTAAGAAAAACTATCTTCCTATCCTTGGCAACATGCTTAAGTCTCGCTGCACCCAAGTTCGTCCTTTACGGCGTTGTTTGCCAGGTGGTCCTCAGCTTCCCCGGGTTCCCCTTTGCCCGGTGGTGTTCAATCTTTAGGGGGGGGGGTGTGGGGTGAAATTTTTGTTGGTGCTGTTTCCGATCCCGGGGTCCGTTCTGAGAACGTGATCCCAGCCATCCCGAGTCGCCGTCTCTTCATGTCTTGTTGTGATATTAGGACAAACATCGTAGTCATACACACACACAAAAAAACCACAATAATTTGGCGATGGTGACGAAACCGTGGCCGCACGGTCAAGCAGCTTGTTTGGCTGCACAGAGGGGGGCTAAACGGGCACCACATGGGCTGGAAAAGAGATGGAGATTATGTTTGAGAGGGTGGGTGAGCGAGTGGTACGGGCTCGAGAAGAGATGGTCTGATAGGTGTGTGGGTGGGTGAATGGCACGGGCTGGAGAAGAGACAGAGCTGATGTGGTAACGGGAGGACGTGGAGCTGAGTGGACTTGCCGACGACCCATTAACTAGCGGTATCAAGATCGGCCTCTGTGGAGGAGGCTCGTGAAGGACGCTACTGCAGCTGCTGCTGCCACTGAGCAGTTGGAGGCAGTCGCCCTCCAGCAACGGAGGGCGGAGCGACGCTCACAACAACGAGCGGAGCGCCGGGCGGATAAAACGCATCAAGTTGGCACAGCGGGGAGGGCACAGCTGGTGTGCATACACCGGTCATCTCAGTCGGTCAACCCATGGCACTTGCTGGGTCTGCCCCGAGACCTCCTGACGACCACTTCACGTGGTAGCCTCAAAGTGCACCTAGCCTGGCATAGGAGCCGTCACTTAGTGGCGAATGGCGGCGATTGGTGTTAGTAGTTGTGGGGGGGGGGCTTGAAGCGGAAGTCAGCGAGTACGGGGGCGTGGCTTATAACGGAAGTTGACGGGCGGTAATCTAGAGGCGGGGCCCCGTAACCCCGGAATCCGTGACGTCGCCCCCCCCCCCTCTAAACCCTGGCCCCGCCTCTTGACCCCGGCAGCCACACCCCCTCTCGCCCCCCCCCCTCTCCCACCCTCCCCCCGGCCCGAGAGGACGTGGAGGAGGCGGAGGCGACGCGGGCCACAAGGCGAGCGAGCGAGTTAGCGACGAAGACGTTGAGAGAAGAAGAAGACGGGGGAAGGGGGGATCCCGTCCACAGCCCGCGGAGACACCCGGAGAACCCTCGCGCGGAGCTCCGCCGTCGCCCACGGGCCCGGGGGCAGGAGACCGAACCGCTCGCGCGAGTCTCGGAAGCGAGAAGCACCCGGGGCGTGAGGGAAGGGACGGCGGAGGCGAGGGCTGGTTGAGCCGAGGCCTAGCGGCCGAGAGCGCGGCTCCGCGCTGCCGTGGGGCTTGCCCGTGTCGCCAGCGTTGTCTTCTTGCTGGGTCTCCCAGTGTCCGCCGCCGCGTCTTCTGGGAGATCCTGCAGACCCCGATGTCTCCTTGTCCCGTTCTATAGACTCCCCTTGTCCCGTCCTATAGACTCCCCTTGTCCCGTTCTATAGACTCCCCTTGTCCCGTTCTATAGACTCCCCTTGTCCCGTTCTATAGACTCCCCTTGTCCCGTCCTATAGACTCCCCTTGTCCCGTTCTATAGACTCCCCTTGTCCCGTTCTATAGACTCCCCTTGTCCCGTTCTATAGACTCCCCTTGTCCCGTCCTATAGACTCCCCTTGCCCCGTTCTATAGACTCCCCTTGTCCCGTACTATAGACTCCCCTTGTCCCGTTCTATACACTCCCCTTGTCCCGTTCTATAGACTCTCCTTGTCCCGTTCTATAGACTCCCCTTGTCCCGTTCTATAGACTCCCCTTGTCCCGTTCTATAGACTCCCCTTGTCCCGTCCTATAGACTCTCCTTGTCCCGTTCTATAGACTCCCCTTGTCCCGTTCTATAGACTCGCCTTGTCCCGTTCTATAGACTCCCCTTGTCCCGTCCTATAGACTCCCCTTGCCCCCCGCGAGACCTCCCCCGACGTGCCCCTCCGCTGCCCGGGCTGCGGGCCCCGCTACCCGGCACGTGCTGCCATGGGCATCCTCTTCTCAAAACTCTGGCGCCTATTTAACAATGAAGGTACGTGGGGGATGGGCTGGGGTGGCAGCCTCAGTGCTGCGGCGTTCAGGCTCACGGGTGTCAGTGTAGACACTGGACCTTGGCGCTTAGCTTCTTACTTCACCGAGACCGTGAGTGATAGTTATTTTATTAACTTCAGTGAGATTCAACTCGGGTCGGGTTATCTCCATCAGTGAGACACTACTAGGACCATCTTCAGTGAGATATAACTCGGGTTATCTCCATCAGTGAGACACTACTAGGACCATCTTCAGTGAGATACAACTCGGGTTATCTCCATCAGTGAGACTATTAGGACCATCTTCAGTGAGATACAACTCGGGTTATCTCCATCAGTGAGACACTACTAGGACCATCTTCAGTGAGATACAACTCGGGTTATCTCCATCAGTGAGACACTACTTGGACCATCTTCAGTGAGATACAACTCGGGTTATCTCCATCAGTGAGACACTACTAGGACCATCTTCAGTGAGATACAACTCTGGTTTATCTCCATCAGTGAGACTATTAGGACCATCTTCAGTGAGATACAACTTGAGAAATCTTCCTTCACCGAGACACGAGTAATGTTATATTTTTTGTGACATTGAACCAAGGGTTATTTTTTTTACTTCAGTGAGACTGAACGAGGGTGATTGTCATCTCATTACTTAAGTGAGACACGGAAATGAGCCGGGTGTAGCTTCTTACTCAAATTGAATATTTCATTAGGCAATCGGTGGACCACTGTTGGTGGCTATGTTCATGATACCAAGAGCAGCAGAGAGCGAGAGGGGGCAGAGAGAGAGAGGCGACGCTCGGTTATGGATGAGCTGCTGCTTTTCGCGCAAAACGCATCAACCGGCTACGAGGTTAGCGCCGTGGGGTTAAAGGTTAGGGTTCGTTTCGGGATAAAGAAGCAACGTTCTTGTCCGTACGGGAAGGATAAACCGGCTTAAGACTGGCTGAAGTGGCCAACGCAGGCATAAGCGAAATCTAATCCACCCCCCCTCCGTGTTTAATGAGAATCTGGCCCCGCAGAGAAAGCCACCCACCCCCCACCGAGGTTTACGGTATAATTAATTGTCGGTGCCGTTTTCTTTTGCATTCCACCAAAGACACCGACGGTACAACAAATGTCGACGTTGTTGTGCGAGCCGTTTCCACGGCGACAAACGCGTTCCGGACACGTAACACAAACGCGTTAAAAGCGATGTGTTTTTTTTTTTTAAACACAAACCTTTACCAAATATCTTCCTACAAACAGGGAGAGCGAGTGGTTGATACCGGTTCGCTTTTTTGTTGTTTTCGTTCATTGGTTTTCTTTGTGGGGTGTTATTTTGTTAATGGCGGCCTGGATCGACAAATTCCTTGTTACCGTGCCAAGCCTGAGAACTTTAATGGGATTACATTTCTCAGAGCTTGTCTTCCGTGTATGTGTTTGGACGCACACATTGCACACACCTCCCCCATGACGCCAGTCTGGCCCGGCACAATTTGTCAGTTCGAGTCAATGGGTGGTGGCACGTGAGTGACAGAGTGAGTGAGTGACTTTTCCGGTCATTTCACCCTCGGTTGCGTCAAGAGACTCGGGGTGGGGGGGGGGGGATTAGTGACACTACACCTTCCGTGACTGAATGAAAATTTGGCTGGGTGTGAGTCCCTTTTTTAAATGAAATATTCAGATTCTGAGTTGTAAGGTGGCCTTCTCATCGCCGCCGGTCGTTGTTACGAACGCCGCTGCCGCGTTTCTCTGCTGGTCACGCCGGAGGAAATGAGCTGTTAACTACCTCGCCTTGTATACAGGAGGTCGTGGGTTTGCATCTCTCCCCCCCCCCCCCCCCCCCGTGGTCGTGTGGATTTTTCTCCGGGTCCTCCGGTTTTTCCCTTCACATTTAGAAACGTGCGTTTAGAGTCTGCTGTACATTTCCACACGATACTGTAAGCCTCTTCGTTGAGATATCATTTGTGATAGCCAGGTCACTGCTGAAAAATATCTATCTAGCTCAGTGGGCCTTACCTGCTGAAATATTTGTTTTTTTAATAGACTCTTGTCCACCGTGATGAGTCGTCATGCTTAAACACGACCCATCATCATCATCAGCAGAGCGACCTTGATCTGCCAGTGCGTGTGTTTGCGTGTGGTGTTTGGTTTTACCAATCGTTATACATTATTACTATACTTCATATTTAAGACCAGATCTCATCATATTCATCAGATCTCGGAAGCTCAGCAGGATTGAGCCCGAATATTGCTTGGATGCCAGCAGCTATGCATTACAGGCGTTATAGGGCTGTAGTACAGGAAACAAACTCCATTGGTGTTTTCGTACTCCATGCTCCAACATCTATGCTCCACACCTTTACTAACCCTCACTGACCAGCGTGGTGAAGTATGGTCAAATGGCATACACGATCGCCATGGCTTGTGGGGGGCCCTCATCCTGCATGTGCACATTCATCAAAACATCCAATTCCATCCCTGTCGCAACACACCGAGGAAGCAGTGTGTGTGATAAATCAGGGAAAATTCTGAAATAAATTTGGAGCAGAGACAGGGTCAGGGGAAGGATACAGAAAGGGAAATCGTTATTGATAATTATGGTTAATTTAAGGGTGCCTCTTTGCCTTCCTTGGTCATCAGGCACTGTGTGTTCTTGCCGAGTAATTTTCTTTTATACGATTCATCTTTCCGCGCCTAAAAAGCGAGTTCGCTCTCCACACTGGAGATGGTCGTCGTGCTCACTGCTGGGCCAGGTCACACGCAGAAGCAAAATCGGTTCGATTCCCTGTTTGAGGATGCTTTATTTTCCTTCCCCATGCAGGCCGAGTCTGCTGCACAGTGCACATTACAGACCCTCTGACAATTGTAAGCTAGAGTGTGTTTTTTGGTGTCTGGCTCACAGCCTAAAAATAATAGTGACTAAAAAAAGAATGTAATTGCATTTGTTTGTTAGAATGTTTTTTGTTGTTAACTTAATTTAAAGTTTTTGAGGCACCATACCGTAAAGTGCAATCAAGTCACTTTTACCTGAAGAAGGGACATTGACTGAATTGCTAATGGACTATTTATGTGCCTCTTATAAGGCAGCGTTAAAATGACACGCACGGTGGAGTTCTGTACCACTGTATAGATTCGACAAGTGGAAACCGACAAAGAATATTGATTGAAAGCTGATAAGTGTACTATAAAACAAGGAGAGTTGCGTGCTCAGAATGAGACTGAGAAACAAAAATAGGAGTACATGGATTATGAAACATAAATCGAAGATAAATTGACGAAAGTGAGTGATGGGCTTAGGTAGGAAACATCGCTACAAGTAACGATGGTGGATGGACGAGACTAGTGATGGAATGGCAGCCCAAAGAGGAGAACACTCCCAACAAGGAGATGGAGCGATTATTTGAGTTCAGGTGACAGAGCGAATGGATTGTATCACAGGACACTGAGTGATGTTGACGTCATGGGCAGACTTTATCCAGCAGTGTTTCGACTTTGGTTCATGATGATGAGTTTACCAAGTGTTCCTCGATAAAGATAAATACATGCGTTATATAAATCATCTCTCACCTGGTTAAATAATACACTGATTTAGACTGGGGATCGTATGAATAGCCAGTACTCTTTTCACTTGTCATCATTCTGGGTCAAGTTTTGGTTCAATAATCGGTGCTCTTTTTTATATAGAAGTAAATGTAATTAGAATAGGTTTTCCCCTTTTTTCTGGCAACAAAACAGGTGTTAAGACGTTAAAACACCAAACTGAAACCTTTTACAAGAAATCATGTCTGCATTAACCACAATACTTGTGGTCAGAATGCAAACGAAAACATACTCTGTGTGAACCACTTACTACGTGTTCAAATTAAAATACGTAGATAATCACTTCATACCTGCACAATTCGTAGGAAGTTTTGTGAGCTTCATTTATATTAATTGATGCATCGTTTACATAGCTGTTGGTCAATCATTGTTCTGGATTGAGAAGTAATTAGATGCACGTGCACCCCTGTGCGCCTTGCAAAACAAAGAAAACCAAATGTAATTTGATTTATTCGTGTGTCTGACAAAGTGAGTCAGATTATTTGTTTGTGTGATTGGAATCAGTGAGTGGTGGCATAGTATTTTTTTGCACACCCCACTATGATCACAGAGACCCAGGCTTGTTTTCTAGCCATGCGCACCAGCACCCATTGGTATTTGAACTTGGTCTGGGCCTTGCTTAGGTTGACTCGGCATAAAATTATAATTATGTGCTGTGGTCAACATCAGCACCATTTAGCAGAAGACGGTTGGGCACATAGTTATCCACAGCACCCTATGGTGTGCTGTCCCGGCCTTAATATACGCTCACGAGCAACACTCAGCCATATGGTCTCTCCAGACTAAAAGGGAAACCTTTGTGCATTTGGAAAGAGAGGTTGTTTTGTGAATTCCAGCCATCTGTGCGTTGTTGACGGGTGCAGGTCACATTTTTTTTCCAGTGCTGGTGTAGGACCCATGAAAATTGAGCCCACGCAAATATTGCCTAACACACGCAGCCTTTGCTGTGGCCAATGGAAAACACCAACTGCCCCCAGCAGGCAAAACACAAACGTACATGTGTACAGCACTTAGCGGTTTGTCCAGCCAGTGGCCAGAGTACATTAAGCACTCACAAGTGCTGATTACGCCGCGGTAACGAGATGCTTACTACCTTGCCTGACATACAGGAGGTCGTGGGTTTGATCCTGACCCTGATGATGCCTGTATATTTGAAGTTTGCTTGTTCTCCCCGTGGTCATGTGGATTTTTTCTCCGGGTCCTCCAGTTTTTCCCTCCACATTTAGACTCAACATGTGTTTTACAGTATTTGGCTGCTATACATTTCCACATGATAAGCCACTTCCTTGGGTTATCATTTGTGGCCAAATCTCTTCTGAATAAGAGCTATGCAGCTCAGTGGGCTTTCGCTAGTAAAACGAAAACAAATATTTAGTTTCTCTCGTTAGCTCAGTGCAATACCGACTGTGAATAA